TGGCTCAGTCGTTAAGCGTCTGCCTTCAGCTCGGGTCATGATCCCAGGGTCCTGGGATCGAGCCCCGCATTGGGCTCCCTGCTCTGCGGGAAGCCTGCTTCTCCCTCTCCCACTCCCCCTGCTTGTGTTCCCTCTCTCGCTGTGTCTCTCTCTGTCAAATAAATAAAATCTTTTAAAAAATAAAATAAAGCTATTGAGTCATTTAGATTAGAAAAGATAAATCCGTGAAGAGTGCATAATTAGAAGACTGACTTTTTGTGGCACAGGAGTTTTATATTCTAAGATGTGTGAGTGTGTGTGTGTTGGGAAAGGGAGCCTGGGAGTGCATAGCAAGCCACCCCCCAGACTGGACTGGCTTCGGTCACACACATAGTAGTCAGTGATTCAGTTCAACGTCTTTTGTTTTTAAATTCTTGCAGTAGCCCAAACACTAGGTTAGGAGCTGCAGATACAAGGTAAACAATACAGTCCTGACTTTAAAGGGCTTCTAGTATATTAGGAGATACAGAGAAATAGATGGGTATGTTAGTTATCTATTGCTATGTAACAAATCACCCCAAAACTTAGCATCTTAAATATAACATTCATCAACTCACAGTGTCTGGAGGTCGGGAATCTGAGTGTAGCTTAGCTATATGCTTTTAAAATTAATGACCAAATAAACAGGACAAAAGGCAATTTGGAGATAGGGAGACTGTATAAGGAAATATGAACTACAAGAGACTTAATGCAGTACCATAAAAAGAAGCAGGATGCTATAAAAAAGAACAGTCAGAGGATGAGACTACATTAGGAACAAGTGGGTTTTATGCCAGGAATTCAACTTCAGAGAATTGTTAGAATTGTTAGAAAACATACTGCAAACTCATTTTTTGCAGATGAATTTATTGTTTAGAAAATTTTATAAGTTTCCTCTTAGAATAAATAAGGGTTCAGCAAAGTTCAAATTAATATACAAAGTTAATAATGCTTCTGTATACAAACAAAAATTAAGTAGAAAATATATTTAAAAATAGATCCTATTAAGTTAGTAATGGAAATTCTTTGCTATGGCAAAAGACATGGAAGACTATTAAAGTAAAACATACATAGTTTATTGAAGGATGTAGAAGTGACCCAAATAAGCAGAGTTTCATCATGTTGTGGGGGAGGGGATATTCAACATTATGAAGAAATGAATTCTCTTAAAACTAAACTATAAATGCAAAAATATTTTGAGAGAGAGATGACAATGAATGTTAAAATTCTTTTATTTTTAAATTTTTTATTTAAATTCAATATAGTTAACATATAGTGTATTATTAGTTTCAGGGATAGAATTTAGTGACTCATCAGTCGCCTATAACACCCAGTGCTCATTCCATCCTGTGCCCTCTTTAATGCCCTTCATCCAGTGTGACCCCTTCCCCCCACCCCACCCCCTCCAGCAACCCTCAGTTTGTTTCCTAGAGTTAAGAGTCTCTTATGGTTTACCTCCATCTCTGTTTTCATCTTATTTTATTTTTTGTTCCCTTCCCCGATGTTCATCTGTTTTGTTTCTTAAATTCCACATATGAGTGAAGTCATATGGTATTTGTCTTTCTCTGACTGACTTATATTGCTCAGCATAAATTAACCCTCTAGTTCCATCCATGTCCTTGTAGATGGCAAGATTCCATTCTTTCTGATGGCTGAGTAATATTCCGTTGTGTATATGTACCACCTCTTCTTTATCCATTCAACAAGTGTTGAAATTCTGAACCGGCTATATAGTAGGAGAAAAGAAAAGACAGAGTGAGCCAAGTGTATTAGGAAGATAAATTATCAACAAGTTTTGACATGTTGAAATGGAATAGATAGATCCAGTATAGGGAGGTCATGGCTAGAAACCTAGATCTAGGATAAAGCTGAAAGGGTGGATCTCTTTATTAAAGGAAAGGTCAAAACTTGAAGTAAAAAGTGCCAAGGGACATAAATAAACAGGATTTTAGAAAAAGAGAAGTCAGGGAAGAAAAGAGTGAATTGTAATACAGAATTCCTAGCAGTGGGTCTCAACACTGTCAAATGCTGCAGAAAGGTTAAAAAAAGTGAGAGAATGCTACTGAAGATGTTGATGTCAAGATGTCGGAAGCCATTGGCAAGCTTTGAGAGCTTAGTTTCATTGACATGGGTACAAGGGTAAGGAAAACTGTTGGATGGCCATCAGATGTAAAAATTGAGGTGTTGACTACGTACGGCCTATGTGTTTGTTATGGGTTAAATTGTATGCCTCAGAAAGATACATTGAAGTCCCAACCCCTGGTACCTGTGAATATGATTTTATTTGGGAAATAGGGTCTTTAATAGATATAATCTCATACTGGAGTACAGTGGGCCCTTAATCCAATATGACTGGTCTCCTTGTATAAGAAGAGGAGACAAAACAGACCCAGAGGGCACCACCACGTGATGATGGAGGCAGAGCAAAGACAAGGCATGCCAAGGATGATTGGCAAGCATCGGGAGCAGGAGAGAGCATGGCCCTGAGGATGACACCTTGATTTCAGACTTCCAGCCTGTGAGAGAATAAATTTCTGTGGTTTTAACGCACCCAATTTGTGGTACCTTGTTACAGCGCCCCCGAGAAACTAATACTGTGGGGATTTGTGCGGTGAATGTGAGATGAGCTAGTAGATGAAGTTTATATGATTGAGTAGCTTAAGAAAGGTGACAGCAGCCAGTGGAAAATATTTCCCCATATTTAATTATTAGGCATGTCTCAAAAAAGGAGGGAGGAGAGAAGATATATCAGAAGTCATAAAACAAAGAGGGAGCCAGATTTTAGAGTAGGTGATAAGACTGGGTTGAGAGATGGGGCAGTGGGATTGAGCTTAGCAAAGACTTTCCTCTGGGAAGTTCACACGAAGTAGAGAGAGGGGAGGGAAGCCTCCACCCCATGGTCTCTGCGATTTCAGTAAAATGGTAAGTTTATGCATGGAAACAGAAGTGCAGAAAGGAGGGCTGAGGACCCAGGGAGAGTAGGAGGACAAAGGAGTAGATTAAAAGATCTGTAAAGTGTGCTGAGGAGGGCTGGCTCGATGTGACATGGGCCCCAAGAAATCCAGGTCTGGTGGAGTTCAGCATTGGGACCCAGAAGCAGTAAACCCAGGTATCAATGTGCGGAGGCTTGGAACAGAAAAAGTGCAGCCCCCATAATGCATCTGCAACAGAGGATTCTGTGTCACCTGTCCAAGCCGATGAGTGACAGCACTTCCTGCACCCTATTGGAGATTAAAACCCCTAAAATGACAGAAATAAATTAGTTTTTAAATTTAGTTGCTAAGAAAGTGTGTGTGTGTATCATAATATGATTTTTGTTGTTTCTTCCCACCCATATAAGTCTCATCATTAATGCCTGGGATTGGAACCAGGTTAAATATTTGGTGTTGTTTGGTTTGTGGACTTTTACTTCTAGTAGTGACTGGCAAAACGAGGAGAAATGTGACCAACAACAAAGGAGGGATACAATTAGAGTCAAAGACTATATTCATATCCATTTTCTTTTTTTTTTTTTTTAAGGTTTTATTTATTTATTTGCGAAAGAGAGAATGAGAGACAGAGAGCACGAGAGGGAGGAGGGTCAGAGGGAGAAGCAGACTCCCTGCTGAGCAGGGAGCCCGATGCGGGACTCGATCCCGGGACTCCAGGATCATGACCTGAGCCGAAGGCAGTCGCTTAACCGACTGAGCCACCCAGGCGCCCTCATATCCATTTTCTTAATGAAAATGGTAATCATTGAAATCATCTCAGGTGCTTACTTCACTGGTTTGTCTGTTCTCTTTCGTGAATGGTTATTAGCTCATGTATACATCTAGGAAGTGTATTGATGACAGTAAAAAATCATGGACTGAGATTTTCAGGATTGATAAGCAGGGATTATTTACAGTTCTGAGAATGTCCCATTTATTCGCAGCTGAAGAAAAGAAGTAACACAATCATTAAAGTTCCACCATCTTGTCTAAACTATTAAACTATGAAAATGGGAATTAGATACTGTTTTGATTAGCATAATTTTCATAGCGGTCGTTGAGAGCGAGGGGCTTGGGGTCCAAACACTGTTCTGGACTCACATGTGGGTCCTTTATTGAACATCTGCAGATAACTTGCGCCTGTAAGCCTCACTTTTCGAATCTGTAACACGGTTGTGACTGTGGTACTGACCTCATAGGTTTGCTTTCAGGAGTAAATGAGGAAATTCATACTTTGTACACACAGGATTCCATCAGCACAGGAGCCACCTAATGGAAGTGCAGTTAAGTTTTAGGTAAAGGCTTCTCATGTGAATTACTGTGATTTCTGAGATGATTGAGCCTCATTTTCCCTCTCTGCTCAACTCCCTTTATCTTTAATCTGTCCTTTTTTTTACTTGGCTGTCTAATTTTTTTTATTATGTTATGTTAATCACCATACATTACATCATTATTTTTTTTTTATTCTTATGTTAATCCCCATACATTACATCATTAGTTTTTGATGTAGTGTTCCATGATTCATTGTTTGCGTATAACACCCAGTGCTCCATGCAGAACGTGCCCTCCTCAATACCCATCACCAGGCTAACCCATCCTCCCACCCCTCTCCCCTCTAGAACCCTCATTTGTTTCTCAGAGTCCATCGTCTCTCATGATTCGTCTCCCCCTCCGATTTCCCCCCCTTCATTTTTCCCTTCCTACTATCTTCTTTTTTTTTTTAACATATAATGTATTATTTGTTTCAGAGGTACAGGTCTGTTATTCAACAGTCTTACACAATTCACAGCTGTCTAATTTTTAATCATTAAAAGCTAATAAAGACTTACCCAACACCATGGGGTTTTTTCATCCTTTTAGAATCTGATCACTTTTTATGAATGCCAGAAAGACAGAACAATAAATACCACGTGCCATGCTTAGCCAACCGTCCACAACTACACGGTCCCTGCAGAGTAATTGGACAAGAAAGACATGGGGGAAAAAAAACCAAACACCAACTTAACAAAGAACATTTGGCAGGCTTTTTACACACAGACCATGTCCTGTTTTCATATGCCAAACTGAATAAAAACAGTTTTAAGAGAGACAGGCATTTGCAGAAGAGCCCTTGAAAGAATCTTAGCTGTTCTAGAAAAAAAAGAGAACAGTGAATCAGAGGTGCTTCTAAGTTCCTCACTCATTTTCCTGAGAGTCAAATTTGTGTTTACCTTCCACTTTGCGTAAGGTGAGTAAGGCATAAAGTATGCATATAGCCAATGCCAACCACATTGATTGATATTGTTAAAATTATTATATTGATCTGATATTTCTAAATTATTGTATGTTTTATATTGTAGACCTAATGAGTGATTTAATCTTTTAAACTCAGTTATATAGTATTTTAGTGTGGTAGTAAAATGTAAGAGAGACTCAGAAGTGTGTACAAATATAATTAGTTTCTTTTGGTCAGCTTTATACATCTCTGGGTAGCCTTTTGAGAATTTGCAAGGTTTTAGTTCTTGGGAATGTGTAGGCACTAGGACAAGTTACTTTTTCCTGTGGCTTCTTTTTTCTTTTAAAATGTCTTTGTGGGTAGCTTACTGAGCTATTCAAACATACCTGTATAGCCATAAGGTGAAGATGAATGTTATGACTTAGAAACTTTCTCAAGTTAGAGTTTAGAGATTATTTTGATATTTGGTCACTTTACCTTTTCTTTTGTCAAAAAAAGAAAGTAGAGCAAGTTCTCTGAACATTGTAATTTTTATATGACATCAACATTTATTCAAATGAATTTGAGTAACCAGAGTTGTGATACCAAATCATCTCTGGAATTTCAAACTGAAAACAGAAGGATCCTTGTTACACATCATGGCGATCTGCAAATCAATTACCTCAGTGATATCCACTAACATGTTTGGTTTTCATCTACATCTGTCTTACATTCTTGGTTCAAAAAAGGGGAACCCATGGATTTAAGAGAAGAAATTAGCTCTTTGGGATTCTAAGAATGACTATGATGTTATTCAACTTTGCTTTACTCAAGTGGTTACCTACATATTAAATAAGCATGCAAAAATGTGCCATTCAAAGTATAGACTGCTCATGGGCAATTCTCTGACAAAAAAAACTGGATATGGTTTTATTCCTGTTATACTTTCTTTTTTTTTTTTAAGGACTTTATTTATTTGAGGGAGAAAGAAGCCGGGAAGGGGGGGGCAGGCATGGGTGGGCAGAGGGAGAGGGACAAGCAGACCCCCTCTGAGCAAGAAGCCCGATGTTGTACTCGATTCCAGGACCCCAAGATAATGACCTGAGCCAAAGGCAGATGCTTACCTGACTGAGCTACCCAGGTGCCCCTGTTATACTTCTTTACTTAAAATACGTAAAGGGCAAAGTGTTTTTTGAATTTCAAACATTGCGAACATCTTATTCCCTGATTTATTTTAGATTGTTGTAATGTCAAGATTTGGCAGAAAAAAGTTACTTTTGAGACAAGAGAGGAAAGACCTCCTTACACTACCACCCTCATCATCCATAGCCGTGAGGGCCTGGAGAGAAATACTCGCAGACAGGATAGTTTACATTCATTAATACTTTATACTCTCACAAAAACCCCTACTGAATGTGTTTCTGCAATGTCAAATAAGGCATCATGTTAGTGCATCTGAAGCTATGTTTTCAAAGAGTTCAGAAGCTTTTTTGTAACTGGACTTTTTTGGTCTTTTTTTTCTTCTAGCTGTACAATATTTACCCTCTCTCTCCACGAACAGGAGAAAATGATTAAAAAAGAGATAAGCGTGTATCAACAAACTCAGGCCATTTTATACAAGAATTTTCTTAAACAATGGAGAATGAAAAAAGAGCTTATTGGTATGGTTCACAATATCTATTTTTCCATATTTAGTAAATGAAAATCCATCATTTAGTATTATGCTATTTTTATTGCTTTTTTATATTCACAAATTCCATAGGTTAGTTGATTTGGAGTTCTAAATACAATATTTTACAAATATTGCAGAATATGACATATTACAGAAAAGGATAATATTTCTGGCAAATTGATGAAATTAACTAAAGAACTCATATGGCAGCTCCTGAAAAACAAAGTAATATTTTATTAAATAGAACTAGCCATTCTCCAAATAATTACTCCATTTGGATCTTGTGGAGTCATTCTGATTTACTTTAAGCCAACTTCAGTGTTAGGAATAAAAATAGATTTTAAATGAGTAAATGATTGCACTCTACTGGGGACATTTTGATTAAGATTCTATTAATTGGGAGGGCTGAGGAATAAAATTCTATGACGAAAAATTAGGGAAATTTTTTGAGGATCTCTTTTCAAGACTATGCTTTTTTGTAAACATAGAGTGGCTTTAGGGAGCTAGACTTCTGATTGTCAGTATCTTTGCATTCTGTTGAGTTCCTAGCATAAGGACATGGACATTAGGTCCAAGAGATTTGCTATATTTCCTTGAAATATGTCTGGGGCTGTCTTGGCCACATCGAGGCTGTATTCTGTTTAAAAATAGCGAATAACATTTCCATGGGAGCTAGCAGAGTTCACATACTCTTTTCATTCTCTGCAATAGCTCTTGAAGCAATTCAGTTTGAATATTTTAGCTGTTATGTTGATGGAGGGTACATTTATAATCATCACCCACTAGAATTTTAAAAGAACTTATCAAAAATGTTTTAAATCTCAAAATGTAGAAATACTGGTCCAATAAAGCCACATCCTATCCTATTCACCCACAACCCAAATTTGACAAGTGTTAACTTCTTGCCATCTTTGCTTCATCTCTCTGTCTCTCCTCTTTCAAGATATATGACACTTGACTGTCATACTTGAGCTAGAATCTACAAAAATTAAACACTATATAACCACTAATATACTTCACAAAATTAGAAAAATGCATATAATCATCTCATTTCAAGTTCAATTTCCTAAACTTCCTGAAAATTTCTTTTTAAAAAAAGATTATTTATTTGAGAGAGAGAAAGAATGAGAGTGAGCACAAGTGGGAGGGACAAAGGGAGAGGGAGAGGGAATCTCCAGCAGACTGTCCGGAGCGCAGAGCCCACACAGGGCTTGATCTCACAACCCTGAGATCACAATCTGAGCCAAAACCAAGAGTCGGGACGCTTTACAAGCTGCACCACCCAGGTGCCCTGAAAAATACTTTCAAAGTTGGTTTTGATAAGCCTGGAAACAATGAGACCTCATATCTTGTTGAATATTCTTTTTTTTTTTAAAGATTTTATTTATTTGACAGAGAGAAAGCCAGAGAGGAAACACAAGCAGGGGGAGTGGGAGAGGGAGAAGCAGGCTTCCCGCGGAGCAGGGAGCCCGATGCGGGGCTTGATGCCAGGACCCCAGGATCATGACCCAAGCTGAAGGCAGACCCCTAACGACTGAGCCACCCAGGTGCCCCAATATTCATGTTTTGTATTTATCTCATTCCTTCTTCATGCTGTCATTTAACTCATTCCTTTGCCTTCTTACATTTCTTTAAACAGAAAATTAGATTGAAAGACAGGATTAACTTCAGGTTGAACATTTTTGGCAGGAATATCTCATATGTGATGCTAGTTCAGCCCAAATATTCATGTTTTGCCCTTGACAGTCTTTGTATACTGCTAGAGAAAAATCAGTGAAGTTAGCATTGTCCTCATAAAAATGTCACAGACTTATTCCATGTTTGGAAGGATGAATATTTTTGAAAGATATGGCTACACTATGAAAATAAATACCTTTTCCTTCTCCATGTAGACATTGTCCTGAGTAAGATTTAAATACTGTGTTAAAATTAATAAAAATCTTAGAACGTAATACATGAAATTATTAAAAAGTCTTTAAAAAGGAGGTCATATACTGGACTTCAGAGGTTTCCGAAATTTCCATTAGTAATGGATCAATTAACCATTTATTGGGTGGATTACTTCTGCAGATTTTGAACTCATCCATTATGAATTTTTTGAGCTCAATTCTAAGGAGTGTTCTTGACTCCAAAGAACCTGTAGGTGGACTGTAACTTCACTTGTGATTTTTGTACTCTAATTATTTGCATGCAATTTATTTCTACTGGCATAGTATTTCCATGTGATAGAAATTAGTACTCTTGGCAGGAAAAAAAACCCCACCAAATTCTTAAGTATTTCCATTGATTATTTTAAATATTTTTTCTTTTTAATTTTTTAATTACTTTAATCACCAAGGTAATAGCCACCCTAAAAAAAGCTAAGCAATAAAAACTGAAGAAAAAAGAAAAGAGAGAGCTTTTGCTTTCATCCTAGCCACACCTTCCTCCCTACCATACCTCCCATTTAAATTTGTATCTTTTTAGGATAATATGTACACCTGGTCACATATATAGACATATATTTTCATATATGTATATAGGCACACAGATTCAGTTTCTTTACTAAAATGCGATCACACTAAAAAAATGCTGCAAATGGGTTTTTTTTAAAGATTGATTTTAGAGTGGGGGAGGGGCAGAGGGAGAGGGAGAGACAGAATCTCAAGCAGTCTTCCCACGGAGCACAGGGCCCGATGTGGGGCTCGATCTCACGACCCTGAGATCATGACTTGAGCTGAAACCAAGAGTCGTACGCTCAACTGACTGAGCCACCCAGGCGCCCCTGCAAATGGTTTTTAAAAGACATGTCATTTATATCTTTTCACATATTTACATTGAGCCTAAGACAATAGAATAGACTTTCAGTACCTAATTTAGAGACACCTACTTAGGGATAGTGTGTGACCCAATAAACCTAAATAATTGCAACTTGATTTTATGTTCTCTAGTGATGAGTTGATATGATTATTGATTTTTTTCATAAATGACAGGAAGAACAATCATGAGGATTGCTGATAAAGAAATGATGGATATGGTACTTTCAGAAAACCATCATGAAATGGTGGGAATTGTGTTTAATGATACTTTTTCATATCAGCTGAAGTTTATTTGGGGATATGAAATCCCAAATATGGAAGAAAACTCTGAACACGCAGGTAACTATATAAGAATTGATTCAATCTTTTTTGCTACTTTATCAAATCCACAGTTGGGAATGACTGATAGAAACATTAATAAAGTCAAGAAACAAAGTAATATACTTTTTATTCCTCAACTTAGTGATCAGTCTTTTGGCCAACATTCAATAATAGGCTTCTTTCTTCCAGTTTTGCAGAATGCTTTAAAAATGCTCTAGATTGTATAATCCTGGGCTCTGAACAGGCATGTAGATATTTCCACTTTAGAGTCAAAGTTAAGGTTTTAATTCCATTGATTGATTCCATTGTATAATAATGACGGACACGTTTTTCTCCTTCCTTAAAGAACACTGTTGGGATTCTGATGATAAAATTTTTTGTTACATGACAAGATACTGGCAAAATGGGTTTGTGGCATTTCAAACTGCAATTAATGCTGCAATTATAGAAGTAAGTGCCTTACTTAAGTAATCTATTTTATACTTTCTGTATTTTCTCTGTATCTTCAGTCTCTACCTCTTCCTCCTCTTTGCCCCTACACTCTTAGGAGATTATGCTCTGCCTCTTATTCTCAGAGAAAGAAGAAACTGATGGGAATATCCCCACTTCCCAACACAAACCCTGCTAAACTACAGACCTACTACTTACTACACCCATCCTTTTCTTTCTGCCTCATCTCATGTCCTTCATCAATTCACAGGCTGGATCCTGTTCCTTCCAACATTATTAGTAAGGTTGCACAATGGATCTTCCCTTCTGTCTCCTCCTTTTTCAATTTCTCCTTTCAACTAGATTCTTCTCTTTGGGATTGAAAAGTATTGATTTCCTCACATATTATCAGGACCTTTCCTTCTTTCCTTCTCAGGCAAGTACTTTAGCTCCCTCCACAGCTAAGTTTCTTGAAAGGGTTGCCTTCACTTAGGCTCCATTCAACTCAACTATTTCTGTCCCCATCCACACCACCCAAATGGCTTTTTCTGAGGTTGGTAACCACTCCCATGTCAATTAACAACTGACATTTTTCATTCCTTATTTTACTTGACCTTTTAACTAAGTAATGTAGCCTTCACCTGATTTTCATGCACTTTTCTAGCCTTTCCTTCTCAGTCTTCTTGCCACCTTATCCAGCTTCACACTCATGCTTCTTTAAATCTGTAGTTCCACAAGTTTCTAACCTAGGCATCTTTCCCCATCCTATATACTTTCTCTAAACAATGTTATTTATTTCCATAACTTTAATTACGATTTACATGCTGATAACTCTAAGAACCCCACTTCAACTTGTAGACCAGCAAACTTGTTCTGTAAGGGGCCAGGTAATAAATATTGTAGGCTCTGGGGGCCAAACTTTTTTATGGTCCTATTCAACTCAGCTGTTGTAACATGAAAGAAACCATAGACAGTACATAAAGAAATGAGTATGGCTTTATTCCAATAAAAACTTTATTTACAAAGGCAGGTGGTGGACTAGATTTTGTCCATGGACTGTAGTTTGCTAACCTCTGCCGTAGTTCCATGTATCTGACTATTTGCTGAATGTCTCTACTTTGATGCTTCCTAAACGATTTAAACTAGTATGTTCAAAACTGACTGTGGGTGGGGGGCGCCTGGGTGGCTCAGTCGTTAAGCATCTGCCTTCAGCTCAGGTCATGATCCCAGAGTCCTGGGATCGAGCCCTGCATCGGGCTCCCTGCTCGGCGGGAAGCCTGCTTCTCCCTCTCCCACTCCCCCTGCTTGTGTTCCCTCTCTCGCTGTGTCTCTCTCTGTCAAATAAATAAAAATCTTAAAAAAAAAAAAATTAAGAAAAAACTGAATGTGGGTGTTTTTATCTTCATGTGGCTTTTGCATCTTCATGTGGCTGAGTCTTTTAAAAATGTTCCTATCTTAGTGAATGCTAAGGCTACCCACCTAGGTGATCAGTTAATTAAAAACTAAGGAATTATCAGAGAAAATTTCCTCTGCCTTTCCCATTACCTCCAATCTCTCATCCAGCCTTGTTAATCCTAAACTGAAATCCACGTGCTTCTCAACTCTGCCACCAGCACTAGTCCAGGCCATTACCATCTTTTGCCTGAACTGTGGGAGTAGTTTACTTCTCTAGCCTACTCTCTCTCCCTCCTTTCCTCCCTCCCTCTCCCCCTGTCAGTTTTGCTTCAAGGACCTCCTTCCTGTGCCTCCAATGCACTGTACCCCTTCCTTCCTTTGCAAATGCTGTTTCCTCTGCTCAGATTTTTCTTCTCCATCCTCAACTTCCCTCCCTGCCCAAGCTTTGTTTAGGTAAGATCACTGTATAAATAAATGTCATTTCTTTAGGGAAGCCTTCCCTACTTTTGTTCTCAGAACACCCTCTACTTCTCCTTTAATGCAGTTCATCAATGATAATCAAACTATTGATTGTGCAATGGGTTGTTTGATGTCTCACCTTCCTTCTCTGCTCCACCATGAGATGTAAAGCTCCATGAGAGTGAGGAGTGTTCCTGTGGATCACTGCTATCTTTCCACCACCCATCACAGTATATTGGGCATGACAGACATCTAGTAATTTTTTAAATGACTCTTATAAGTAATGTCAACATTACTAATACCAGAAGTCATCAAGAATGTTCTAATGGGGGAGATGAACCATGAGAGACAATGGACTCTGAGAAACAAACAGGGTTTTAGAGGGGAGGGGGGTGGGAGGATGGGTTAGCCTGGTGATGGGTATCAAAGAGGGCACGTTCTGCATGGAGCACTGGGTATTATACGCAAACAATGAATCATGGATCACCACATCAAAAACTAATGATGCAATGTATGGCGATTAACATAACATAAAAAAAAAGAGGTAGAATTAACACCCCCAAAAAAGAATGTTCTAATGATGTTAATAGTTCACCATATTTTTAAATGATGAAATATATAAGTACTGAAAATGAAACAAAATGTGTATGGTTTTCTAATATATTTTTCTATAGTTAATATAATGAATTTGTTTAACATCCCAATTTAGGTCACAATAAATCATTCTGTGATAGAACAGCTGACTTCAGTTATTGGAATCAATATGAGGATGCTGCCTTTCATTTCTAACGGAGAAATCATAAATACATGGTTTACTTTTATTTGTATGGTTTATTTCTCCCATGTTGTGTATCTCCCTTCATTAAATGTTACACGGGAAAGAAAAAAGTTTAAGAAACTGATGACAGTGTTGGGTCTCCCGAGAGTCAGCATTCTGGTGAGTTAAGTTGCTTTCTTGCCTGTGTATCACACATTAATAAACAAAGAAACCCATTAGATTATAAAAGAAATTCGATGCTTTCAGGGGTTTGTTTTTTGCATGCATTCAATATAATTAGCTTACCCGTATTACATTTTAAGATGCTGGCGGTAGAAATGAAGTAAGCATTGTGCTTACGTTTCCTTGAATTGAAGAATAGAAATATGGTGCTTGTATCTGTTAGCTGTTGCCAGAAAGATGCTGCATAAAACACCACCCCAAACCCAGTAACTTCAAACAACACTCATTTATTCCTTCTCATTTGTCTGTGGCATGACTGGAGTCTGGCGGATCTAGTCTGGGCTTGGTTGGGCTTGGATCCAAGTTATAGGTTGCATTAAGCCTGCCCCGTGTGGTTTAATCCCCCGTCGGTCAGCAGCAGACCTGGACACATTCTTCTCCTTCAGTCACAGAAGTGCATGAGGGCAAGTCCCGCTGCACCACACATTTCAAGCTCCTTCTCAAGCCACATTTGATAAAATCCCATCGGTTAAAGCAAGTCATGTGGACAAATCCAAAGTCAAGGGGCAAAAAAGTATATTCTGCCCACCATAAAGCCAAAGCAAGTCAAAGAGCCAAGCCCAGGATCAGTGATATGGATAATTCTATCCCTTCATGGAAGGGAAGCAGGGAAGAAGGGATTGAAAAATTTGAACATTAAACTAATTTGCCATAATGTTATTAAAGCCAATTCATGCAGTTAGTCAATAAAGATGTTCTTTGGGTAAGACTAAGGATTGGATGAGACAGTATCTTTAATCTGCTTAGCACAGATGGTGTTGCTGCTTGTAAGGCACAAGACACAGAGTAAAATGAATCTGTCTCTCCATTTATCTATTGTCCCTTTCCCCATAGACTTTGAGAGAGTATACAATAATAACAGTAATAGTAGCAAACACTGAACTTACTGTATTCCAGGGACCGCTCACAGTTTATAGTGCTATTATTTCACAAGAAAACCAAGGCACAGAAAAGTTAAGATTTTTGTCTAAGAAATCCCTTTCTTTCAGACACTGTGCTACATAACTCAAAAAGATGAATAAAATGAAATTAGTGACAAGGTGATATTTTTCCCTTGGTAGAAAAAGCTGTTTGTGAAATGTGCCAACAGAAATGCATACCATATTGTCTTCAGTGTTTTTGAGATAAACATTCCATTTGGATCCAATTTGCTAAGTACCTCAAATTGAGAAAAAACACAGCTCGAAAGTTTTCCTGATAGAGAACTGTCCAAGTTAGCAGGGTTTACATTGGCTGGAGATTTTTAAAAAATAGTTAATCTTGCATGCTGTTGGGGAGAGTGTCTTCAAATACAAGGAAAAGAGATTTTTAAAATGAAATAATACGCATAAAAAAGTATGGCTTTGACAATTTAACTTTGAGGAAAATACCCCAATAACTGGGGTAAAACTGATATATTTCTTATAAAGTCCCCACAGTTCTTGTATATTTTATCCTCTTCCACTTTCTTCCTGATTGCACACAAATTTTGCTATAATCTACTTAACCCAAATAAGGCTCAAGAATGCAGAATTTTCAGTTTTCAACAACAACAACAACAAAAGAATGCAGAATTTTCAAAGGATCTCAAGAGTGATTTCTTATATAAAACATTGTGAATAGATCATGGGAATTATTTATAATAATCACTTTCCAACTATACATTTCTGTTATATGAAATTCTAGCAATTTCAGTTCAGAACAGAAACAGTTCTGTTTCATAGAACTGAAACAGTTAAGAGAATTTGGTTTAAATATACATGAATTATGATTAGCTCCTATTGGGGCAAACTATTTTTTTAAGAGGGTGGAACAGGAAAACAAAGAGATAAAACAAATGATTGAAAACAGAATTTTTTGCTTAACTTTTTCCTTTATTAGGTAATTAAGTGTTTGCCTAACGTTCTTCAAAGATGACTGATTTTTTAAAATACCATTATAAACTCATGGATCTAAACATGTCTAATATGTTTCAAGCCATTGTAATTATTATTCTTACTGAAGCTCAGATTGTCCCATCTTTGGTCAAAGGGAGCTGAAGGTTGGTTTGTGATTCTTTTTGACAAGATTCTAAGTGGGTTTTGAAAAAAATAGATTCCTTGCTATTTTGTGTGGCAAGATTTCTTTTAGTTAGAAAAAGTATTTCAAGAGCATTGTATACTAGAAATATTTTTTGATATTGGATTGGTCATTGTTTCTAGCCTTTTTCAATAGCAGAGATAGAATCATGATATATTTTCTACATTTTGTATACAGAATAACATACACATACTAAAGATAAATGCCTTATGAACTCACACTGATATTTATAATTTATAATTCAAATATAGAACTATAGAGTTTTACATAGCCTCCCCCATATTACAACTATATTTCCTTTCCTATGTACTGAGAATTCTGGTTCTCCAGGAGAGATACAGAGAATCTGAGAATTAGAACATCCCTGTTACTCACTTGTTTTATCCAGAAATAATACATATGTCTAACAATACTAATAATATTATTTCAATATAACTGAAAGCATTTAAAGTACTTTTTTTCCCACGTGCTCTCCCAATCCTCCCAGTTGTTTATAGTTCACTGAATGTTACTGACATGGTACAGACCACTCTTTCTCCTTTTAAAACATCATTTAGTCTTAGCTTTTCAGGTAACTACAATTTTTTTTAATAAAACATTTTTTATTTTGGGTAGATACATACTCCGTTTTAAGAACTAGATTGCGTGTACACTTTACCCAGTTTCCCCCAATGATAACATCTGCAGAACTGTCATACGGTATCACAATCTCACTGTGGACGTTGATACAATTAAGATACAGGACAGTTCCATTGTTCCATCATTATAGATTCCATCAACTCTCTTCCTTATCCCCCATTTCTAACCCCTGCTAACCACCAATCTCTTCACCATTTCTATAATTTTGACATTTCAAGAATGCTGTATAAATGGAATCACATAACCTTTGGGGCTTCCCACACACACACACTAAGTACAATTTCCTGGCACTTCATCCAAGTTTGTATTTATTAGTAGTTTGCTGCTTTTTATTGCTAAGAACTGTTCCATGGTAGCAATATCTCTGTTTGATTAGTTGTTCAACCTTTGAAAGAGGTTGGAGTTGTTTCCAGTTTGGGATATTACAAATAAAGCTACTGTGAACATTGATGTCCAGGTATTCTTATTAACATAAGTTTTCATTTCTCTGAGGTAAATGCCCAATGGTATAATTTCTGGGTTGTATGGTGATTTAGTTTTATAAGAAACTGTTGAACTGGTTTCCAGAGTGGATACACCATTTTATATTCCAACCAGCAGTGTATAAATGACAAAAGCATAGAAAATAATTGTATTTGACTTGGTTTATGTTTTCATACATATATTGGAATTTACATATGTCTAATATTTTTATTAATTCATTGAATATAATAGTCCATTTTTCTTACTCCTTTTCTTCTCCTTAACTAATCTTCATACTTCATGCTCTCTTTACTTCAATCTATGACCAGCTCTTTTGAAAAATTATTATTAATTATTAGAAGTAGATGTTTTAATATATGAAAGATTTACCCTAGCTTCAAAAAATTAATTGAATAAGATTGTTAGGTGTTTAGTTTTGTAAAAGATTTTTAAAATTTCAAATTGAATGAGAGCATGAGAGAGGAAAACCATGATCTTTTTTTATTGAGATATAATTGATATATAATATATTAGTTTCAGGTGAAAAACATAAAGATTCAATATTTGTATATATTGTGAAATGATCACAATAATCTAGCTAACATCTATCATCCAGACAGATTTTTAATTCTTTTCTTGTGATGAGAACTTTTAAGATCCACTCTCAACAACTTTCAAAAAGATAATACAATATTATTAACTACAGTCACTGTGCTGCACATTACATTCCCATGTTTTATTTTTGTAACTTGTTTGTGCTTTTTAATCACCTTCACCCATTTCGCCTTCTCCCCACCCCCGCCTCTGGCAACCACCAAACTGTTCTCTGTATCTATGAGTTTGTTTATTTCAGATTCTGTGTATAAGTGAGATTATATGATATTAATCTTTGTCTATTTTAACTTAGCAAATGCCCTCAAGTTCCATCCTTGTTATTGCAAATACCAAGATTTCCTTCTTTTTTGTGGCTGAATTAATATTCCATTGTGTGTGTATCAGTATCTATCACTTTTTTTTTTATCGTTTCATCCATTGATGGACGCTTAAGTTGCTTCCATGTCTTGGCTATTGTAAATAATGCTGCAATAAACATAGGGGGGCATTTATCTTTTTGAATTAGGGTTTTAATTTCTTTCAGATAAATACCCAGAAGTAGAGGGGTGCCTGGTTGGCATGGTCGGTTAAGCATCCATCTCTTGTTTCAGCTCAGGTCATGATCTCACGGTGGTGGTGGGATCAAGCCCTGCGTTGGGCTTCCCGCTCAGTGTGGAGTCCACCTCAGATCCTTTCTCCCTCCCCCTCTGCACCTCCCCACTTGCGCTCCCTCTGTCTCAAAGAAATAAATACAATCTTTAAAAAAAAGAAAATACCCAGAAGTAGAATTGCTAGATCATTTAGTAGTTCTATTTGTAATTTTTTGAGGAATCTCCTTACTAGGAAAATTATCATTTAAGCTTACTGTTTGTATACATGAAAATGCTATTTACATGTGATAGTAAAACAATTTATGTACTGCACAAAATGATATAAAAGGATTCCAAATGCATCATCTGTACAAAGTTCCACACTTGAGCTGAAAGCCCTGTGTAAATTTAGAGGGTACTTGGCAATTTATTAGTGTGTTCGTGAAAGGTCAGTTTTTAAAAGTGAGAGCCATTTTCCTGTTTAAACATATCTTTCCATCTATTCCCTCAAATTTTCAAAAACAACCATGCTTTGACCACTGTGACGCAGGATCCCTGTTATACAGCTGTTAACTCCCAGGACACCTTTTGCTTTCCTTTAGTTTTGTGCTTTCTAGCTGCACTGTAGTATTCTAATTTCTAAAAACAATACCCTGAATGGTTAATGTCAAAAGCCATATAAGGATAAAAAATGAAATGAGCTTTCCTTATATCAGAGAGATTTCAATTAAACATTAAGAAAAATGTTATACCAAAAAGAATTTAGTATAAGAGAGTTTAAAGATGAGATTATTATATTTCCATTTCATATTTAGTCACTTGACTGAAAGAATCAGATTATGTGTAATATGAATTTTTAAATTCAACAATTGTAAAGTAATTATAATAACAGCTCAGCTAAAGAGTTCATACACAGTATCTTAAAACAACCATATGAGGTAACTACCACAATTAATTCCAATTCATAGATGAGGGTGAGAAAGGAAAAGTCCTACCTATGACCTCATGGCTAGAAAGTGTAAAGCCACAGTTTTATAGTAAATTTGACTCTGTTGTGTTTGCTTTCAGAACTTGTACTCATAACTGTTGTGCATATTGCCTCTCCAAACATTTACCTGTGTGTGACATTCTGAAGTAAAACTTTGTTTCTACCATAGGCTCTCCTGGGGATTAATGTATGCTGGCTTCGTATTTATCCTGTCGATTTTTATGGCTCTGATCATAACATCTATCCAAATTGTAGTAATTGTTGGCTTCATGGTGATATTCACACTCTTTGTCTTATATGGCCTGTCTTTGGTGAGTTGGCAAAATGTATCTCTTAATTTGTTTCACATCTCAGATATATGAGTAAATGATGTTTCTTTACGATATAGGTATGGCATAGTCACTAATTTGATATCTTGTTTTCTGTATGTTTTGAAAAAGTTTTTGACAATGTGAGAAATTGATTATTATTGCTAAAAATGATTCTCAAAGGGACAAACATACCATTTGGAACTCTTCTTTCTTCCTTCAGATAGCATTGGCTTTCCTCCTGAGTGTGCTGATAAAGGAACCTATGCTTACTGGTTTGGTTGGGTTTCTCTTCACTGTATTTTGGGGATGTCTGGGATTCACTGTATTGTACAGACAACTTCCTTCATCTTTGGGATGGACTTTAGGTCTTTTTAGCCCCTTTGCCTTCACTGCTGGCATGGCCCAGGTAAAGAGCGCAATGATTTTATGATTTTTTTATTTATTAGATTTTCAAAATTTTGAAAAGTTTGATAACTTCATGAAACTTAGTGATCAATCACCTTGTATTTTAAGAAGTTCTGCATTCTCTTGTGAATTATCATCAAAGTAATAAAGCAGATAGATCATTTATAAAATCCTAGAAAATTTAAAGAAAAATAATTGCCCATTATCTGACCCCTCAGTTTGTCTGATTTATGTCCCCTTTGAAGAGGCAGTAAAACGTGGAGATATGAGTAATAGTGAATAAGTAATAATGCCTGAATCAGTCTCAGCTCTGCCCACGTACCAGCTGGGTAAACTTGGGCAGACTTGACTTCTGTAGCCTTCCTTTCTTCTTCGTAGAATGGGGATGTGTTAGTAGAAATCACCTCAATGGGGGTAAACGGGAGGGCTGACTGTATTATTCTCTACACATAATGCTAGAGCAGTTCCTGACACATGCTATGTGAATGTGAACTATTATCTTTCTTATCTTTAAAATGAATCTCTTCAAGTTTTCCATACTTATTTAATATTTGAGTGTTTCTACAATATCTTATCCTTAGCATTTTTATATTTCCTTTATATGTCCTCCAGTTTCACTGCCCGCTCTTAGTTTCTCTTCCTACAATATGTTATTTTTGGCTCCTTGACCACTTCTCTATATTTTCTTCTTTAAAACTTATGTGGTAATCAATTAGTCAGTTAAGTTTCTATTCTTCAATTGTTTTACTTTCTCAGATAGCATTTCCCACTTTCATGACAATAATTTTATTTGTAAAAAGCAACACTACTACTAACAACTTCACTGTGCATTTTTGAAGAAAAAGCTATTAAAAGATGAACTATATTTTTCTAGGCAGCACCATTTAATTAAAAAAAACCCTTTAGCCTTATAGGTTCGTATTCTGTTATTTTATTCTTTTTAATCTCAGATTTTTCACATGGATTATTACCTGATCGGTGTTATTTTTCCCAGTCCGTCTGGAGAGTCATACATAATGATGGTTACTTTCTTCATTCTGGCACTTGATTCTCTTCTCTATTTGATATCAGTGTTATATTTTGAGCGAGTTTTGCCTGGTAAATCATAGTGTGGTTACAGTTGAATTTAAGGCAATTCTGCTGCTTGTAAGGTAATATCTTATAATTGTTTACTTGTAATTTAAGAAGCATTTCTGGTGGCAGAGGAAAGGAAACAGTCTCAGAATTAATAGAATCTCCTCATTTACATCTCACTATTTAATGGTCTGGCCAGAAATATTTGGTAAAAACATCTTAGTTAAAAATAACTTGTATTTCTTTTGGTTTTTCTCTTTTATAAAGATGGGGCATGCGTGTATGTGTGTTGGTTGGTGTGGAGAGAGAAGGAAACAACTCTAACAGCTATTGAACATGATGTTTTTTAGTGTTTGAATTGAACTCACCGACATTAAGATAGCTCATTAAGCAGCTCTTGCTAGTATTTGGCTCTAGGAAACTTGTTCTTCTGCATCTCAAGAATATGAAGTAGGAAACAGTATAAAGTTAATGGATGACCTCTTCTTTTCTTTCTTTTTATGGGCCAATCAGCCTAACAAGAATGCTTTATAGAGTATCATAAAAATTGGTAAAATAAACTCATAAAATTACATAAAATCAGTTAAAAATGGTTCTTAAATAATTATTGTTAAATTCCTATATAGAATGCATATATCATCCCAGGAACTAATATACTTATATTCCTTTCTGCCCACATAAAATCCACAAATTGTATTCATACATAATTCCTTCTCGTGCATCAGAATCTGAATAGGTCTGTCCTTTTCAAACCCTGTTATTTTGGTGTCTTTCTTTAAACGTTTTCTAATTCAGGTATTCTGTTTTTAAAATATGTATAGTTTTCTTTTAGACTTTTATTTGTTTCATGTTCTTTATCTCCATTACACTATTTTAGGATTTTATCTCCTATGCCTCTTATTCGTTCCATTAATATAATTTCATTTTAAAATTTCATAATCTATCATTTTGAAATAATGCATTTCTTATGCACTCAGCAAATTGCTTTCAAAATTATTTTGCAAAATTATTATTGTGAATAAACAACTTCTTAAAAATAAATGAAATTTCTTCTTTGAACAAAATGTAGCATATAATACATGTAACCTCTGAAACCAAGTTAACATATGCCTTGCTGCAGGTCATAGATAAGAATCAGCACTCTAGTATCTGAATGATTAGATAATTTTACTGTCATCTCAAACCTGCAAAATGGAAATTAAAATCCCAGATCTGATCTCCTGGTGTACGCACTCATTCTCTTGTTCATACACATAGCAAAGGTCTTAAAAATTCCTTTTTGCTGAACCCTTAAAAGTGTCCCCAGCTAAACTGGAGCTAGGATCTTCTCTACTTTCTCATCATCTTTTTCCTTTTGGAATTTCTTATTTTCTCTCTTGCCCATTGTTTATAACCCTTTGAATATAAATCAAGTCAATTTGTTTTTAGCCCATCAGGCCCCAGAGCCTAGTAGATAAAATTGAAACTCTTTCTTGGGAGTAGAGGAAGGCATAGTTAATGCTCCAAAGTTAATTTTCCCGTCACAACTCTGTGCCATATTACCTATTTGTCCTCTCCTAAAGTTTTGGGGTTTTTTTTTCTACATTAAAATTTTTTTCTCCAATACTTCCATCTAAAATTTAATTTGTCCTTTAATAGGTAATTATCCACTTTTTCTTCTGAGTTCTCCACTCATTCATAATTAGCTTACTTTTCAAATACTCCCCTAACCCCCACCCTCTGCTACGGGAAGGCACAATAAGAAATATTTATTTCTGGGAAGAAGGAATTCAATTTTTTTCTGTTTCTAAGTATTCATATAATCAGAAAATTTTACCAGTGAGTATTTAGTTCAGCATTTAGTACAAACCTCACATCTTAGATTTGCCAAAGCAGTGGTCTGGAGAGGTTATATGACTGGCCCAAGAACAAAGCAGAATTTGGATGAAAACTTTGAAACTGACTTTATTAATACTTCCCTTTTCAGTTTTCTTTTCCACTGAATTCAATATTCATTATATTTAGTGTTTATTTCCTGTCTTTTGTCTCTAGAATGTAAGTCCTCCTGAGGGAAGGTATCTGTAAGCATCTAGGGCAGTCTTTGTTACATAGTAGGTCCTCAATAAATTCCTGGTGAATTACATAAATGCATATATTTGTCTTCTTATTTTAACTTTCTTCAGGATAAACAGTGTATTTTTCCATCTAGAGACCACCTGGTGCAAAAGCTCTCAATAAATACTTGATGAAGGAATACAAGAATGTCCTCTTTTTTTCCCTCAGCTTCAAACAAAAAATCTATTTCTTCTTTTCCTTCTTCTCCTCTTCCCCCTCCTCCCCCTCCTCTTCCTCTTCCTCCTCAGTTTTTTTTTTCCCCCCCACAAATTTGATTCAATCTCACTTCCCCTTACGTGGGTACAGTATGTATTCTTTAACCCAAATTTTTATAAACATCTTTCAAATCCACATTTTTAGAGTAGGTTATATTTAAATGTTTTTACATTCATAATTCTTTTTCTGAATCAAAATTTCCCATAAAACTGATACTAATTAGATATCAGATTTAATCTTTGTTATCTATTTAATACATAACTGCTGATTAAGTTTATGTGGGTCAGCAGGCTGTGTCTTCAAGGCTTTCACAGTTAACATTAGAAACACAAAAATCAGTAATTAAATATAGTATAGGAAGTGTGATAGGAGAGGATACCACAAGGTTCATTGAAAGGGTAAGTCCTTGGGTTGGTGGGAGGAAAGAATTTCAGCTGCATTTAAAGGATAAGAAAGTTTACCTGGTGGACAAGAGTGCACAAAAAATTTTATGGTCAAAAGGAATAGCATGTGTGCCCAGCAATGGGAAACAGCTATGGTGTAGGGGAAATGAAAAGTTATTAGGTAGAGCTAGTACAGAGTTTGGGTGTCAGATGTGGTTCTAGTATAGGAATTAATAACCAGCTAATAAGAAATTACAAGGAGAGATTTTTTCCAAATACACGTCTGTGCACAGCTACACACACGGCCATATAGCATGTAAAGATCCCAATGATCGGGGTGCCTGGGTGGCTCAGTCGGTTAAGCGTCTGCCTTCGGCTCAGGTCCTGGGATCAAGCCCCACATCAGACTCCCTGCTCAGTGGGGAGCCTGCTTCTCCCTCTCTCTCTGCCTGCCGCTCTCCCTGCTTGTGCTCACTCTCTCTCTGTCAAATAAATAAATAAAATATTTAAAAAAAGATCCCAGTGATGCTGAGGTTCACCTCCAGTTAAGTCCCTCTGTAGGTGCCTGCTCTTGCTAACTCCATAGATCACATGCAGAATTTGGGATTCTCTCCTCTAGTCAGGTCCAGTATTGGTGGTGATCTCTGACAACCTTTTCTCTTGTTTTTGTTGAAATGAGAAAAATAATGTGAAACTTATTTATATACCTTAATTCTTTCATTGGAAGTTAAGTCTTTCATATTGTGAGATTATAGCCTTTAAATATCTATACTTTCGTTGTGAAAATATTTTTTCTCTTTTGCAATGGTGATCATAACAAGATGGGAGGCTTTTTAAATTGTCCTTAAAGAACACAGTATATTTATTTAAAAAAATATCATTCGTCCAAGAAATCCAAGAACCTTAGAACCATCAGTGTAGGAACTGGAGACAGATTGATATAATCTATGTAGGACCTTTCACTGATGAGATTTGTGTCTTAGGAAGATTGCTCTGACAGATGTTTGGCGGGTGGGTTCAAAGCAGGTGGACATCATAGTCTGTGTTGGGGGGGGGGACCAAATTGAGGACCACTGTAATATAGAGGGGAGGACAGACTCAGGAGATACTTAGGAGATAGGAACAATCTGACTTGGTAGTTAGTTATATAGTAGATGGAGGAAGTGAGAAAGAGAAGGGGTGAGGGTGGCTTTTGTTTCTGGTAACTTTTTGCCTTTCCAATGAAAGAATTAAGGTATATACTAGGGGGTAGAGAAAATGTCACTTAACTGGGTCAGCAGCTGCAAAACAGGAGTATCCAAAATTCATTCAATTTTTGCCATATTATTTTAAATGCTTAAATAAATAAAGACAAATAGTGTAATGATCTCACTTATATGTGGAATCTAAAAAAACAAAACCAAACCCAGAAAGAGAAAAACCAAACCAAACTTACAGAAAAAGAGATCGGACTTACAGCTGGAGGAAGCGGGAATTGGAAGAAGGATTTCAAAAGGTACAAACTCCCAGTTGTAAGGTAAATAAGTACGAGGGATGTCATGTACAACATGAAGACTGTAGTCAGCACCACTGTGTGATACATGGGAAAGTTGTTAAGAACATAAATCCTAAGAGTTCTTATCACAAGGAGCACATTTTTTTTTTATTCTTTTTGTTTTATTGTATCTATTGAGATGATGGATGTTAGCTGAACCTATCGTAGTAATCATTTTACAATATATGTAAATCAAACCATCATGCCTTAATCGTATACAGTCATAGAAGTCAATTATTTCTGAATAGAACTGGAAAAAGATCATTAATGTGTAGGAAAAAATTGGTATCAAGCTACACTAGGACAGATATCATTCTTTACTGATGTAGATGATTAATTCAATATCTAACTGTGTCTTGATTGATCAGATGAAGATGGCCGCCAGCATTCACCGTTGTTTTTCTTGAAGTCTTCATTTTGGTCACAACATCAAAACACTCACTATGAAGTCTTTGAGGACAAAATAAATCCTGAGCATTCCTCTGATGACTCTTTTGAACCAGTGCCTCCAGAGTTCCATGGAAAAGAAGCTATAAGATAACTAACAAATTATGTATACTTACAGGTAAAAGTTTAATAAACTAAGGTACAACAGAGCTAACCACAGGTCAAATGTTATAGATGATGTGTTTTTTGGAAGTTCCTTTCTTTCAGGTGTTTCTACCATCATTCTAAACTTTCATTCATCATTTTAAAAGTATTTTTGATATCGTCAGCAGCAAAATTCAGTAGCCCTATTCATTTTCTTGTTCCTCTTCTTCTACTTTCTATCCCCACCATTTATAATCTCTTTGCATTCTCTTCTAACACACACACACACACACACACATTATGATATGTATGTATGTACATATATAGCATATAAAATAGACACATGTTTCTTAGATTATCTGCCTTTAGGGAGTGTATGGATTAAAGTTTTGAAGTCAAAAGATTTCTCTAGGGCGCCTGGGTGGCTCAGTTGGTTAAGCGACTGCCTTCAGCTCAGGTCATGATCCTGGAGTCCCGGGATCGAGTCCCGCATCGGGCTCCCTGCTCGGCGGGGAGTCTGCTTCTCCCTCTCCCACTCCTCCTGCTTGTGTTCCCTCTCTCGCTGTGTCTTTCTCTGTCAAATAAATAAATAAAACCTTTAAAAAAAAAAAAAAGATTTCTCTATAATTTAGTAGCTTGGTAACTTTTTGCTGAACCATGTGAGATCTCTAAACTTCATTTTCTTCATTTCTAAGAAATGTGTAATATAATTCAACAGTACAGTGACTTCTTCTTGAGGAATTTAAAGAATCAGTGAGATAATTAAATATGCCTGTTAGGTAACAGGAACTGGATAAATGTTAGTTATCTTTATCCATATGGATGTGGTTGATTGAAAGGGCATAGAAATAAGAAATAATGTAGAGAAAAGCACTGGTAAAGGTGTTAAGGAAAACCAGGAAGATGTATAGACAATGGCTGCCTAATTCTTAATTTCATCATAATTTAGTGCATGCTTCTCTAGGTGTTTGCTTATTTTATTGAAGGAGATTATTTTTTTTTTTTTTTTTTTTTAAGATTTTATCTATTTATTTGACAGAGAGAGACACAGCGAGAGAGGGAACAGAAGCAGGGGGAGTAGGAGAGGGAGAAGCAGGCTTCCCATCGAGCAGGGAGCCCGATGCGGGGCTCGATCCCAGGACCCTGGGATCATGACCCGAGCCGAAGGCAGACGCTTAACGACTGAGCCACCCAGGCGCCCCTATTGAAGGAGATTATTGAGAAACACTCCTAAATGACATTCCATTTATGTGAAGTTATTTTTTTGGAAGTGTATTCTGAGGACAAAATGGAACATAGTGATTACAATGTGCTCCATGGATTGAAACCACCTGGTTTGAATCCTGGCTTTACTGCTTGTTAACTGTGTAATCGCAGCTAAGTTACTTGGCCGTATCTCGGTTTCTGTATCTTAAAAATGGGCGTGACACTGGTAATAAGTTTGTTATGAAGAGTAAATGAGCTACCACACATAAAACTTTTAGAATAGTGCCTAGCCCATAATAAGCATTTGGTAACTGTTTGCTAATAGGAATATCATGGATAAATTCAATCAGATATCTTATATCAGTTCACTTATTTTGGAACAGGTCAAAGGTGATTGGCAAAAGTATCTGGGAGAAGGGGAAGTGAGCAGAGAGACAACAGAGAAAGGAAAAAACTATAACCTGACACAGAAAGATTAGAGAAAACCCTCTATTCCCTGGAGTTGGAACTTCTCAAATTCTACCATTTCTAGTAGTTTTTCAAGCCCTAACTCCTGTGTCTAAAGAATGACAAGAAATTGAAAACTTACATAGCTATTTCAGTTTCTCCTGTTCCTTACCACTAACTTACAATAACTATGTTGACACCAGAAAATTTAGTTAAATTAACAAGCTAAATCAGGACCAAATCACATTAGTCAGGCCAAAATCTCACCTTTCAGCAACATGGTTCCATAAATGCCCAGAACCTTAACCCTGACTCATATTCCTCCAATGGGCAATGAAGATGGGTATGGTTGTGTGGTCATTCAGTTCTCCTAAGTGGATGCCACCAGTTGTCCTATTCAATGGTCTTAGATCCAATTTGCTGTTAATACTTTAACATGAAATGAGTGTACTCCCAGGTACATACAACAGCTCTAGCCTGTTTGAACCTGCACACTCTGTCCTCTACCTTGACAGCCTCTCTTTTTTTTTTTATTATGTTAATCACCATACATTACATCATTAGTTTTTGATGTAGTGTTCCATGATTCATTGTTTGCATATAACACCCAGTGCTCCATGCAGAACATGCCCTCTTTAATACCCATCACCAGGCTAACCCATCCTCCCACCCCCCCTCCCCTCTAAAACCCTCAGTTTGTTCCTCAGAGTCCATCGTCTCTCATGGTTCGTCTCCTCCTCCGATTTCCCCCCCTTCATTCTTCCACTCCTGCTATCTTCTTCTTTCTTTTTTTAACATGTACTATATTATTTGCTTCAGAGGTACAGATCTGTGATTCAACAGTCTTGCACACTTCACAGCGCTCACCATAGCACATACCCTCCCCAATGTCTATCACCCAGCCACCCCATCCCTCCCACCCCCCACCACTCCAGCAACCCCTAGTTTGTTTCCTGAGATTAAGAATTCCTCATATCAGTGAGGGCATATGATCCATGTCTTTCTCTGATTGACTTATTTCGCTCAGCATAATACCCTTCAGTTCCATCCACGTTGTTGCAAATGGCAAGATTTCATTCTTTTTGATGACAGCCTCTCTTTTTGTGCTTGATAGCCCAGCATGCCTCAGATCAGCTCCTTAGATCATTCTGGACCAGACTGTTCCTGCAGGCAAATTAGTTCCTTCATTTATTCATCATTCATTAAGCCCTCTGCCAGAACTAGGATTCAAAGATGAATGACAGTCTTTCACCTCAGGACAGGCAGAGCCTGGGGGGAAACAGGCACTTAAATAGATAATTAGTAAAAAGAGTGGTAGAGATGGATGCAGAGAATAACCAAACTTAGAGAAGGATCATTCAGCCCAGCCTAAGAGTGGTAGGAAAAGTCAGGAGATAACTCTTGAGGTGAGTCTTATGGAAGGGAAAGGTCACATAAGTTGTGATGGGGCACTTGAAGGTTCTTCCAAACAGGGAATACAGCATGACAAACATAGCACAGCAAGCAACAATGTGCGCGCGTCTAAAGAATGACAAGAAATTGACATTTCTGAGCTCAAAATACAAGGCTAGAAGAGGGAGAAGTAAATATTAAGAGGTACGGGCCAAATAAGATCACTTGAGTTTTGTTTGCCAAGGACAGTCTGTCCTGCATAGTGTGGGGAATCACCAAGTGAATTTAGGGAGGCAAAGTAGACAGCCAGACCTCTGACAGGTCACTTGGACAGCTTTCTGGAATGGATTTGAATGCAGCACAACTGGAGAAATGGAAGCATTCCAAAGGTTGTGTCAGTCTGGGTTGGTCAGGAAAAGTGAGTTGCTGGAAATACTGTGTAAGTAAAGGGATTTGGTATGGGAATTAGTAATTCATAAAAGTACTAAGAATGGAAGAGGGAGGGTCAAGAAAGCTGTAGCCAGAAAGGGAAACAGCCCCTGAGGACCTTATCCAGATGCATGGAAGTGGGTGGGTCTCACAAAGTTTGCTGGGATTCTCTGGGAAGGTTCCCACCAGGTTTCTTAATCTCCAGCAGCAAAACAGGGCTTGTCAAGAAGTCTGAGAAGCTGCTACAAACCTAGAGTCTGCCCCCATGACCTTCAGAGAAAAATGGCCTTTTTTCACTTCTGTTTTCCAAATCTTGCCAAGTTCTCCTCAAGTCCAATACAGAGAAGGATTTTTGGGAAGTGTAGTTCCTGGCATATCCTCTGTATTGCAGGAGACAAGGGGCTAGGTTGATGGAAAGGGAAAACATCATCAGGTTCAGAGGTCAAGGTGTAAGAGATGATAAGAATCTGGACTAGAAGGTCATAGACAAGTGATAAAGGGATAAATTCAAAGAGATTTCATAAACTTAAATTCATAAATCCATAAGGTTAAATTATAGTAATTTTGTAGACCACAGGATGAGGTGAGAGATAAGAAAGAAGGACGTTTCTTAGGCATTTAATTGGCATTCCTCGGTGGATGCTGAAAACACCAACTGAGATAGAGAATAGAAGTGGGACTGGTTTAGAGGGAAAAATAATAAGCCCTGTGTGGTATCTATGTGTAGATGCAGAGCAAAAAGCTGGATATTCCCATATGAGACTTTGAAGAAAGGCCTAAAGACACAAATTTGGGAATCATTAGAATCTAAGTAAGAGTTGAAGCAATGAGAGTGGGCACTATTATATGGCAAAGATTTGAGAATAAGAAAAATAGTTGGTTAAGTGTGGAATCCAGTTTAAGGAATCCATAAAGTATGCTGAGTGGAATAGTAAGAGAAGGATATGGAAACCAAGAGGGCAGAAGCCAAGGAAATAAAGCCTTGCAAGAAGAAAGGAGCTAGCAATTGTTTAATACAGCATCTATTAAACAATGACTGGAAAGTGTCAGTGTCCATTGGATTCCATAGAGTGTCATCGGTGTCTTTGCTCAGGATAGTTTCAGTGGAGTTGTAGGGTCAGAAGCTATGTTGCTTTAGGTTGGGAATAAATGTGAGATAAAGAAATGGAAACAGAGAGTAGAGAGACTATTTTGATAAATTTGCCTGTGGAGGAGAAGAAAAATGAAATAATAGGGGTTCAGGACTGAAGGAAAGCCTCTCCCCCATCCTCTCTTCCTCACTCTCTCTCCTGTTCTTTCCTTCCTTTCTTTCAGTGGTAGCTCTCTCTTCATTTGCCAACTGAGAGAAATAGCTGGAATATACGAAATAACAAGTTTGATAACAGTATGAGCAGGTCCGTGCAAATCTCTTTGGGGGTGGTGTGAGCTTTCCCCACTGCCCTCCTTGGATCCCGTTATGAGGGTGACACCCTACCTTGTGAGGTTCAGGATTAATCACAAACTGTAATATTGGCAGTTAACATAATCTGTCATTAGGAAATGTACTTAACCTCAAATTTGCTTCTTTTTTTTTCAGAATCAGAAATGTTACAAAAGAATATGATGGAAAGCCTGAAAAAGTAGAAGCATTGCAAGATGAAGAGAAAAACTTCATTGTTTTGATGATGTTTTTAATTAAAAAAAAATTTTTTTTGTTTGTTTCCTGAAGATGCAAATAGTCATAGTGGCAAATTGGAGAATGAGTCTAGATAAAAAGGAAAAAAAAATTTTTTTTTTTAAGATTTAATTTATTTATTTGACAGAAAGAGACACAGCAAGAGAGGGAACACAAGCAGGGGGAGTGGGAGAGGGAGAAGCAGTCTTCCCGCCGAGCAGGGAGCCCGATGCGGGGCTCGATCCCAGGACCCCAGGACCATGACCTGAGCCGAAGGCAGACGCTTAACGACTGAGCCACCCAGGCGCCCCAAAAGAAAAAATTTTAAAAGCCCACATTTCTACTCTGAGGGATAGTCATCGATAATATATTTACATATATATAACATTTTTAAAAATAGGATTGTACTGCTTGTGCTGGTTTATAATCTTTGACTTGGATTTGTCAGACTGAGCTTGCAGTATCACTGGAATTGTGCTTACTTTCATAGGACTTCTCATCATCTGTTTTGGGCTGTGGTTTGTCTTGTTTTTGATTCTCTGACAATATAATTCCACATGTTGTCTATCTTCAGAGAATCTTTTAAAATTTCTGGGGTGCTAATGGAACTCTATTGTTTCTCCATAGAGTTAGATAATGTTTCAAATATTCAAGAAAAAATTATCAAATCTTAAGCACTCATATAGAAAAATGCCTGTGATGTGTCCTGGGTCCCACAGACCCCTCTAGAGACCATGACACCACTTTTGTGATACAAAACAGAGCAGTGACCAGTGCCAGGGAAAACTTTACCATCCTCTCTTTAACCCATGCTCCCTCCCTCCAAATGTGGAATACGTACCCCTTTGCCTCTATCCCTGGCCCTTCTGTCTCAGCTCTGGGAGCCTCTGGGAGACTGTTCCTTCAGTCACACTGCTTTCCCTGGCCCAGGAAGCAAATACTCTCTTCACTCTGCTTTATTCCTAGTAGCCTTTGCTCTGTTCTTTAACATCGAATTAATATATTCTTTGACATTTGAAGGATTTGGGTAGGGAGGAAGGTAGAAATTTATACTATCAGTCTTGATCCAATTTCTCCAGAGAAATTAAGGTTTTGTCTTCATAAAAAGACACAAATACATAATTTTAGAGGGTACACATAAGAATACCAATAAATGAAGCGCTGAGATACATTTGACTCTTACAAACTTTTGTAAGGTCCACTCCATCTGAATATAATCCAAGGTCTAATTTTCAGATTTTATTCTAAAACAGGCATATTTCTTGACATATATGAAGGACAGGTCACTGCAATACTTGGACACAGCAGAGCTGGTAAATCGACACTGCTAAACATTCTGAGTGGGTTGTCTGGTTCTACAAAAGGTAAGAAAAGAATTTTAGAAGCAAGTTGACTGATGAAGCAGGTTCCTCAATGAGATTGTGTAAAACAAAAACACTTCTCTAAAGCAGGCTTTTTTACACAGTTGAGTAATTTAGAATAGGAACTATTTATTTCATATTTATATAAATTCACCAGAAAGCTTGTATCTCTGCTCTGCTATTGTCATTCTGTGTCCACTTTGCATTGCTGTGGACCCTGATATTTATGTTAAGAATAATCTGAATTTCTCAATGTATTATTTATGCAATTATGAAATGTGAAGTTTCTTCAACTAATATCCTGTCTTACCACTTCCTAGAGTTACTTTCCTGGTGTTGAATACTTGAAAATTTCTATTTACAGGATCAGTCACTATTTATAATACTCAACTCTCTGAAATAACTAACATGGAAGAAATGAGAAAGAACATTGGATTTTGTCCACAATTCAATATTCAATTTGACTTTCTTACTGTGAGAGAAAACCTCAGGCTATTTGCTAAAATAAAAGGGATTCAGTCAGAAGAAGTAGAACAAGATGTAGGTGAGCATATTAGAACTAATGCCTTTGAAAATAATATACTTTGCTTTTGACCATGTTTGTTGAACTATTACTTTATTTTTTCATAAATAAAGCTTAGTTGATGAAGTTCTTAGAATAGATTTCTCCTAATTATTAGAAGATTAAAGTAAAATATTTTTTATTATGTAGAGGTTTTCTTTCAGTAGGTAAAAAGAGTTATAATGGAATTGGACATACAAAACATTCAAGATGTTATTGCTAAAAAACTAAGTGGTGGACAGAAGAGAAAACTAACATTTGGGATTGCCATTTTAGGAGATCCTCAGGTAAGAGAAAAAATATTTTTTGAGATGAATTTGGTTTTTTTTTAAAAGATTTTATTTACTTATTTGAGAGGGAGTGAGTGAGAGAGCATGAGTGTGGGGGGGCAGGGGAGGGCAATGGGAGAGGGAGAAGCAGACTCCTCGCTGAACAGGGAGCCCAGCACAAGGCTTGATCCCAGGACCCTGGGATCATGACTTGAGCCGAAGGCAGACACTTAACTGATTGAGCCACCCAGGTGCCCCAAGATTAATTTGTATTGAAGGCTATCAAACGATTATTAAAGTCCAAACTCTAATTACCAAATATAAGAGAAAATTTGTAATAAAGGACCATGCAAGCCTATGAGGAATCCAGTGGAGGGCTGTATTTGAATCTAGAAATCATATGGGTTTCCATGCAACATTCTAAAGACCCTCACTTGGAAGTGGAAGATGAGCTCATACTCTTCCTCCTTTGTAGGTTTTGCTCCTGGGTGAACCGACTGCTGGGTTGGATCCTTTTTCAAGGCACCAAGTTTGCACCTTCCTGCAGGAGCATAAAACAAACCACACAATCCTTCTTAGTACCCAGATCATGGATGAGGCTTACATCGTGGCTGGTGATTCTTGGTTTCTTTCTTCTAATAGTTATTTAAGGATTGAACATGAGAGATATTCTCTATAATCTGTTTTTAAAAGTAGAGAATCCTATATTTAATCCATTTGAGTGACTGCCTTGTAAAGATGAAATTTGCTTTGGAAGAATTCTGATCCCCCAGTATGTTCTTAGGCCCATGCTTTATGTATCTTCTTGTCTGTAACTTTCTTCACTGTCTACATTAATCACAAGTATATTTTTTAAATTTTGAAACTCTTAATATTTCATATATAGTTTTGTTGTTGGATAGAAAAAACTTTTAGCTGGGAAAATTATTTTTAAATTTATAACCCTTTGTTGCCTTCTTAGGAGGATTCTTGGTTCACTAAGCAAGGTATTGAGTGTGAAGATACAAGATTGGAGAATTAGAGATTGAATAAATGTTCTGTCTAGGACATAGTGGCAGGTGGGGAAGACGAGTTTCAGTAAGCCAGGAAAGGGTACAAGGCAGAATCTTAAAAAAAATGAAGACAGAAATAGACTCAGTGAAAAGAAGAGAAATTTTTGCTTTCTAATGTGCAGTATAACCTTATTCTAAGTTTCCTCCTGAAATCTGAAGTAAAATATACTTTACCTCTCAGTTTCCTCCTGCCTTAATAACTATGAAACAGCCACCCTCAAACTTAGTGTCTTAAGTCAATTAAGTATTTATTGAGTGCATGAGTTGGAGAGTTGGCAATTTAGGGTGGGCTCACTTAGAAAGATCTTCAGGTCTTTGGGTTCGCTTACATGTCTGGTGGTTGAGTGACTGTTGGCAAGTCAAATTAGGTGACCTAAGGTGGCTTAGGTGCCAGCCTAGGTGTGTTTCCTCTTCCAGCAGACTGCCCAGGCATTCTCACGGCAATAACTAAGGCTCTAGAGACCAAGTCCCAAAGCATAAGCCCATTTCAAACCTCTACTTGCCAAAGTCGGCTAACATGCCATTGGCCAAAGCATTGGCCTCATGTGGTGGAGGCACATATCAAGGGGTGGAGCAGGTCTCCTAGCCCATGGTGAGAGAACACTGCAAAGTTACATAGCAAAGTATGTGGATAAAGGGAGAATGGAAGATTTGGTTTCTCCTAGCAATGTTTTATGCCATTGGATAAGCTGTGAGGGATGCAATGAATTTCTGAGCCCTGCTTCAAAGGAAGCATGGGGGTGAGAGGTGGTGCTGCACCCAGGAACTCAATTATATCAAGACTGCATTCATACTGAAAAATTCATTTGGTGATTTGGTCTCCAGAGCAGAGAATATACCCATATAAGGAATTCACATAATTTATTCTTTCTTTCTTTCTTCTCAGAGATAGGGAAGTGTTTGCGTCTAATGGGAAGTTGAAATGTGCAGGGTCATCTTTGTTTCTGAAGCAAAAATGGGGTATTGGATATCACTTAAGGTAATGTATTCTGGGAGTAGCTTTTTAATATGAGTATCAATATAAGAGGTGACATTTCATGTAATCCTCTGGAGATATAAGAAAGCCAGCTTAGGGCGCCTGGGTGGCTCAGTTGGTTAAGCAACTGCCTTCGGCTCAGGTCATGATCCTGGAGTCCCTGGATCAAGTCCTGCATCAGGCTCCCTGTTCGGCAGGGAGTCTGCTTCTCCCTCTGACCATAATCCCCCTCATGTGCTCTCTCTCATTCTCTCTCTCAAATAAATAAATAAAATCTTAAAAAAAAAAAAGAAAGCCAGCTTAATATTTGGTGGAAATTGATGTACAATAATCAGTATAGTGTATCTCCTTCATTAACATGTGCCTTGATATTTATCTCTTGGTTTTAAATATGTAAATTTCTAAATGTGTATGTATCTTTCAATAAAACATTTTTGGCTGATATATCAGAAACATAATTATGTTTTCAAAAAGCAACTGATAATTTATGGGGCGCCTGAGTGGCTCCGTTGGTTAAGTGTCTGATTCTTGATTTTGGCCCAGGTCATGATCTCAGGGTAGTGAGATTGAGCCCCGTGTTGGGCTCCGTGCTGGGTGTGGAATCTGCTTAGGATTCTCTCCCTCTCCTTCTGCCCCTCCCCTCACTCTTGCACTCTGTTTCTCTCAAAAAAAACAAAACACACACACAAAAAAACGATAATTTTTAACAGAACAATTGGCCCTAAAGTTCTGAAATTGTATTCTAAATCTACTTTATATGTCAGAATATCACATGGGATAATTTAGAAAGCAGGGCATATCAACAGGCAAGTTATTGGCATTAATAGAAGCCATTTGCTGCAAGAAAGCAACTGTTTATTAAAAACCTTATTAATTTTTTAGTGATCCAGAAATAATGTTTCATGTACTTTATATCCTATCATGATTTTATATACATATGCATACATATCTCTATGTAATAAGTATATGTGTTTTTACATGCTAGCCTGCTATCTATCTATCTATCTATCCATATATCCATATAACATGTAAACTGAAATTTCCACTTACTTTAGAAAGTTGCTTGGGGGATTGGGGTTGACATGTAATGCACTGTATTTTTTCCCATTTAAAGTAATTCAAACACGGCTACCATTTAGCACTTGGAAATAGAACATCTTATTTGTGGGAACTGATTACTGAAATTAGCAGGCGATGTCTCTAATAAATACAAATTATTTAATAAAAAACTGTCTTTTAATGAGCAGTGGTGTTAGAGATGAATTCAAAAGACTTATGCTTCTTTTGAAATGTTAGTTTACACAGGAATGAAATGTGTAATCTAGAAAGAATTACATCCCTCAGTAGACAGCACATCCCTGATGCCAAGTTAGCAGCAGAAAGTGAAGAAAAACTTGTGTACATTTTGCCCTTGGAAAGAACAAACAAATTTCCAGGTAACTTACCATATGATCACATAGAATACAGCTAAGTGTCCACGATAGGCTGATTGCATTTTCTATTTTCCACCAGTTGGGTTTTAAAGCTTATACACCTCACACTATTCTAAGAGCTCTGCCTTCTGTTTTCAATATAATGAAGTGTGTTATCAGATACACGGTTTTAGTGTGAGAGCAACTAAAATTTCCATGAATGTATTTCACTGAAAAACCCAGATTTGCTCTCTGTGTCAGCATTAAATGAAGCTCTGAAATGTCTTTTCTGAAGCAGCAAAAACTTTTGTTTTAGAGACACAGATTAAATAAGGCCTTATTTTTTTAAAATACTTGGAAGTAGGTCAACAGGGTCTTTGTAAAATATCATTTTAATTGTAAGTGTAATATGCTCAGGATAGAAAAACTAGAAAATACAGAAAGGAAATAAAATTTACCCATGCTCAATGAATTTTTGAATAGACATACATACTTACACAAACATATGCATGGCCATAGTGATGCAAGAAATTTTAAAGCATATGAAACAGAAAAGAGATGCAAAATAATAAAATTGATTTGAAAGACAAGAGAACATGGAAATATTTTTATTAGATTATTGTGGCAGCTTTAATATGAAAATATGTTTAGATTTATCTATTCTGAGTAATCTTTAGGACTTTGTATTTTAGTGTACTTATTAGCAAATTTAATTGCATTATTTTATTGCTGTCTGCTTTTTAGATCTTTACAGTGACCTTGAAAAGTGTCCCGACCAAGGCGTAATGAATTATGGTGTTTCCTTGACAACTCTCAATGAAGTCTTTGTGAACCTAGAAGGCAAATTAACAATTGATGAGCCCGGTATAATGATGTGTGTCTAGCAGAAAACTAGAAAGAGGAAACTGAAAATGACCATGTATTGATTCATATTTGTAGGTTTTTATGTGGACTTCTGCCTAAATGTGTATTAGATATAAAATAGGGTTGCCCACTTCTAAAAGTATCATAATTGTTTTATATCTAACATAATCAGACTTGTTGCTAGGTAATTACTCTATTATTGTGTCCACTTCCCCATATCATCAATAGCTCTCTGCTAATGTCATGAGTTCTGGCTTCGTCTCTTACCTGCCATTTCCTATAAAAATGTACTCTTCCTTAGGTAATAAATTAATTCTAATTAATGTAGTCATAAAGAATAAATAAGTTGATATTTTCCCTTAGTTTAGTTTGTGAACTAATAATTAGAAGAATGTAGGAGCTAACTATGTGCCAGCCATTGTGCTCAGCTGTTGGATTACATTGTTCTTAATTCCCATAATAACTTTGTTATGCAGGGAGAAAACTGAGATTTGGAAAAATTGAGTGAGTAGTCAGAACCATAACAGCTGCTGTGAGGCATATGTGAGATTTGAATAGGAGGTCTTTCCTGGACTTAAAACCAGTGTCTTAAAACAGTCACTGGGATGTCAGTCATCAGTGATGAACTAATCCTGTGGAGGACTTCTAAATGACAGAGGAGCCCTTTTAGAAACGCAGCTACAGGGGCACCTGGGTGGCTCAGTGGGTTAAGCATCTAACTCTTGATTTCGGCTCAGGTCGTGATCTCGGGGTCATGGGGTTGAGCCCTGTGTCAGGCTCTGCGCTCAGCATGGAGTCTGCTTCAGATCCTTTCCTTCTGTCCTTCCTCACGCTCATGCAGGCATGCTTTCTCTCTCAAATGAATAAATAAAATAAATCTAAAAAAAAGAAAGAAACTCAGCTACATACATTTATATTTATGTTTTTGCATAAACCTTTTTGCTCTGCAAAAATCCCTTAGTGAAGAACTGCTGCTATAGGTATGAAAGAGTAAATGCTTCCCAAGAAGGCTAAACCATCCTCAAAAATGAATTTACTCACTCATTGGAGTTATAGTTGTCTGAAGGACAGATTTTGAATATGGGTTATGGACATCAGTAGCTTAACTTGTTAGAAGTGCTCTTTCAAATATTCTAGTGTATTTTAGAAGGTTCTAAAGAGAAAATGCAAATAACATAACCGATTTTAATGGTTTATTACATGGTTACAGATTTTGGCATTCAGAAAGAGGAGAAAGTCAATGAGACAAGAGATACTGGAACTGAGTCTGAAATGCAACAGGCTCCTTGTTCTCTTCCTGGATTGAGAAAGGTCATTAGTACTGGAACTCTCTGGAAACAGCAGGTCTGTGCCATGGCAGAGCTTCGCTTCTTAAAGTTAAGGCGTGAAAGGAAAATTCTTTTGTCCTTGTAAGTATCAGATTACTTTAAATCTCTCTAGTCAATATATACAAAAAAGTTTAAATGTGAAGAAAATAAGTCTATTAATTTCTTCACCCATTTAACAAAGTTTTTGGAGTGCCTATAAGTGTTATCCTACACAAGGGAGCACAGTTGACAAGGCCTTTCAACTTACATCTTGTGGGGGAGAAAAATACCAATGAAATAATTACCCAATAAATATGTTAATTGTTCCTTATATCACAAATCATTATTGAAGCCTGTTATGTGCTAGGCATTGTTTTAGGTGCTGTGGTGTTTACCTTCTGGTTGGGAGGAAAAGATAACAAATAACAAATATAAAAACTAAGTAAGTTATATAGTAAGTTATGCAGAATAGAGTAAGCGGATGGGAAAGGCTGGTGGGAGTTAGGAGTTCATTATAATTCTAAATAAGGTGGTGTGTTGGCCTCATTGAAATGGTCACATTTGAGCCAAGATTGGAAAAGCCAAGCCAATAAGAGAGGGAGAACACCAGTTTAGAGCAGAAAGCATCAATTATATTTGGCAAAAGGGAAGTCATTGAAGGTTTTGAGAAGAGAAGGTCTGAAAATAGACAGCTCTTTTGAGGTGCTTCACCATGGAGAGAAATAGAAAGAGCAGTAGTAGCTGAAGGGAGATTGAAATTAGGAGGAAGTTTCTTTTTTCTTTTTGTTTTTTTAATGAATGGGAGACATTAGAACATGCTTCAGTCATGATGGGATATGTCAGTAGGGAAATAATTGAAGATGAGCTAACTGAGCAAGATCTCAGGGAGGGTGGCAAGCATCTGGATCCAGAGCAATATTGAAAACTGACTTTGATAGGGAGCAAAGACAGCATCTATTACAACAGAAAAGAACACTGACAGGATGGATATGTTTTCTGGGTTTTTTTTGGGGGGGGAGAGATGATAAGACCAGGGGGAGTTTCTGTCTGATGGACTTCATTTTTTCCCTATGAAATATGAGGCTGAGAGTGAGGAAGAAGGAGGTAGAGCCTGAGGTCTGATGAGAAAATAGTCATTGCAAAGACTGGACTCACAACCTTACTGGAGAAACAAAAAGATTACTTGAAAGACTTTTACTCATTGTTTGAGCTGGATAAATGAATTCTAGGATCTGAAATAGTGCATTAAATATGGTATCTAGTTTCGTGAAAATTAAAGTATAAAACAACAGCTGATGAGAGTTAAAATTTTACTTGAAATTGTGCACATCACAAGTCTGAGGGCAGTGTGAAATCGGGTTCCTTTCCCTTTAAAACTATGTTAGGCTCCTGGTATCCCGTCAAATCGTCAAACCGTTTTTTCCTGTTGTCCTGGTCAAGCACTTGGATCTCAGCTTCTCTTTTTGATGCTCTATTATCCTTGGACATCTTGCAATGTGATAATGATTTATGAAAAATTTTGAGCCTGTTTTCGATTAATTTCATTTTCACTTTATGTAACTAAAGGCCATATTTGTATGTTGAATTTCCATAGGTTGGCATTTATATAGCATGTTTGTGACTTAAATAATCAGAGGGAAAATGTTTTAGACTTGCATTTTAATTTTCTTTACTTAGGTTACTGATACTTGGTATTCCTTTTACCCCCATCATTTTTGAGAAGATAGTGGATGTGGTATCTAATTACACTCATTGTTGGGAGCTTTCATCCAGTATGTATTTCCTTTCTCTGAAACAACCCTCACAGGCTCCTCTTACCAGTCTGTTGGTCATCAATAATACAGGTGAGAAATAGGGATTCAATTTACTCTTGATTTTTATCATCAAAGATCTTTTGAAACACAAACCTGAGCAGCAAAAAGACCTCTATTAAGAACAGCTTGGGGGAGAAAGTCGTGTGTGTTTATGGCTTGCTTCATTTTCAAATTAAGGAAATTGATGGGCACATTTTCAAATCAAGAAAAACAATGGACATAATGGAAAATACCAAATTAACTTAACTTCATGAAGATGTTTTGAATGGGTCACCAGTACAGTAAATATCATTGGAAGGTTAGCCAGATATAGCAGTTTAGATGAGTAGGACTGATTTGTATCAGTAGGACAAGCCTAGGTAATGAGGTGTGTATTTTGTATATAGTATATGTAGTTACAAACATTACAGAGTTCTGGCAGAGTTCATAAAAATCACTAATAAGTTTTATTTCTATGAGAATTGCAAATCTAGCTCTTGGGAATAAACCCTTTTACCTTTATAAGAATTACAAAATATATTAACCTATTTCTGAAAGGATTCTGTTACACTGAAGATGGTAGACCAGATTTCATGTCAGAATTAATTTCAGCCTATTCTCAGAGAGTGAAGGTCTTTATCATGTTATTCTGGGTATTCCTTAACATGAGAAGAATTCGTTCTTATTGTAAAGCTCTGACGTTGATTTTCTTGCTGTTATGTTGCCTTCCTTCATTGACTACATTAGGATCAAATATTGAAGACTTTGTGCAGGCACTGAAGCATCAGGATATATTTTTAGAAGTTGGTGACTTTAGAAATAGAAATGGCTCAGATGATCCTTCCTGCAATGGAGCCATCATAATGTCTGGTGACTGGAAGGTATGTTTGGGTCCATGTACTATTTTATCATGAATGGGGTTTTGACACCTTCTAATACTTTAGATCTATAGAAAAGCAACTCAAGTGTTCTATATCAGTATAACTTGAGTCCTTTTTGAGTAAGGTATGAAATTTTAATCCTTTAAAAAGCATGTTTTTTCTCAAAGGGATCATCTTTTATTAGTGATTTTATTTGTTGTAAAAGCAATGCATGTTTTGCAACAACATGGATAGATTTTGAGGGAATGATGCTAAGTTAAATAAACCAGACAGAGAAAGGCAAATACTGCATGGTATCACTTATAAGTAGGAAAAAAAAAAAGTCAAACTCCTAGAAATAGAGAATAGAAAAGTGGTTGCCAGGGACTAGGGGGTAGGGGAAATAGGATTAGACTGGTAAAAGGATATGAGCTTTCAGCTATAAGATGAAAAGATCTAAAGACCTAATATATAATATGGAGACTATAGTTGATAACACTGTATAGTATAATTGAAATTACTGAGCAGAACATAAATGTTCTCATATATACATACATGTGCACACACATACATATGTGTACATGTGAGGTGATGGATATATTAACTAGATGGGAGAAATCTCTTCACAATGTATATGTATGTCAAATCATGATGTACATTTTAAGTGTCTTACAAATCTGTTTGTCAATTATACCTCAATAAAGCAGAAAAAAGCAATGCATATTTAATAAATTCAAACATTACTAGAATATATAATATAAAAGGTAAAATTCTCTAATTTCATTTCTTTTTTTTTTTTACTTTATTTATTTATTTGAAAGAGAGAGAGCACAAGCAGGGGGAGGGATAGAGAGAGAGGGAGAAGCAGACTCCCCGCTGAGCAGGGAGCCTGACATGGGACTCGATCCCAGGACTCCTAGAGGAAAGCAGACACTTAATGGACTGAGCCACCCAGGCACCCCTCTAATTTTATTTCTTAATTTTTCCATATTATATTTCTAACTGTTAATCATTTGGTAAATGTCTTCTACACTCTTTTCCTTTATAAAAACACAAACTCACTATTTATAGGACCATCTTATATTTGAAAATATATTTTCTGAATTGGAATTGTATTAGAGTGTCCTACAATCCTCTCTGTCACATAAGATCTAAATCTTTGACATCTTTCCGTATTAGTGAATGTTCATCTATTTCATTTATAGAATAAGTCATTTGGATTACCAAAATAATGTATTCTTATAACAATTCCAACAATTCAAAAAGGCTGAAGTGTCAAAGAAAAATTAATAGTCTCTTTCTCACCTTAATTCCACTGTGATAATTTATAAACTATACAATAAATATATTTGTTTTAAGAATTTGGAACTTATATTTGTGTTTTTTTAAAGGATTACAGATTTTCAATCCATGTTTGCTATTACTTATTATGAAAGATCAAGAACTTTTCAAGGAGTTTTATGTTTAATCTCATATTTTTAATGGAAAGAACAAATATATGATAAAATTTCTTGCCTTAGTAAATTAAATGTAATTTATCATTTTCTATCCTTCCCGCTGATCTATTTTTCCATATATTACCACCTGGATACCACACTATAGACTTGTTTTATCACTGGCCTCATCCTTCTAGTCTAAAATCTTCTCTAGGGCGCCTGGGTGGCTCAGATGGTTAAGCGTCTGCCTTCGGCTCAGGTCATGATCCCAGGGTCCTGGGATCGAGTCCCACATCGGGCTCCCTGCTCCTTGGGAGCCTGCTTCTCCCTCTGCCTCTCTCTCTGTCTCTCATGAATAAATAAATAAAAATCTTCAAAAAAAATAAAAAATAAAAAATAAAAATAAAAAAATAAAAAAAATAAAATAAAATCTTCTCTAATCAGAAATTATACCCAGCTCCCCAAGACATAGAACATTAAAAGAGCCAAGATCCAAAAGGACACTGAAAACTTTAAAATGATAGAGAAAAATAATAGACCTGTTAAAGAATCATAATTTGGGCTTTGTTTGGTTCATTCTTAAGTAGTTCTTCACACTTAACCTAGGTACCCAATACATATTTGCTGAAATCAGTGAACCAATGGATTTGCTTAGCAATCTAGCATACCAGCAAAGCCTCACATGCAAATCCTTAGTCTTACATCATATCTTCCTGGGGGAATTTGTTGAGTAAGTGATATACATTGGCTAATGAAAGCGTGGAGGATGTGTGTGAAATTTATGAGAGTGTATGGCCCCAATTCTAAAATTATGATTATTTAACGGTTCTGTAGTGTTTTCTCTATCATTTTAAATTCTGAAGTGTCCTTTTGGGTCTTGGCTCTTTTATGTTTTATCTCTTGTGGAATATAGTGCAATTTTTGATGATATATAATTTTAATAACCATTCTCAGCCTCTCAGGTGTGTTTAGTTATGGTAGATAAAAAAGGAACAAATGTGGAAATTGGGTAGATGTTTGCAAGTATATGCATAATGGTTGTAGAGAATGAAATTTTTATAGTAAGAAATTTATATAATGGTACCTCTATTTTTTTGCATATGAAATAAGGCCATTTCTGTACTCTTTTTTTTTTTTTTTTTTTAGTCTATTGTTATAACAGTAATCAATTACCCTGTCTGGAAAACAACTTAGATTTATAGTAAGACCTGTCCATGCCTTAAAGATTAATTTAAACATTTCTAGAAGTCAAGAAGTTATGCAAGAAAGATTTTGCTCTCCTCTAATTATATCTTGTAGCTAGGGACAGGAACATAGGAACAGCTTCAAGACAATTACTATTAGAGTTTTAGAGGCTGTTATCTATAATTCATCTTCTGGGAAATAGGGAACTAAAACAAATGGCAGCTTTCGAGAATTATATCAGTGCAGCTCCAAAGAGTATGTGTCTTCATTTAACAATTACTAGATGGAAATATGAAAGAGAACCTGCTCATTCTCTCTAAATACACGCCTATAAAATTCAGGTTTTTAAAATTTCTTTTGGGGGCACCTGGGCTGCTCAGTCATTAAGCGTCTGCCTTCGGCTCAGGTCATGATCCCAGGGTCCTGGGATCGAGCCCCGCATCGGGCTCCCTGCTCAGCGGGAAGCCTGCTTCTCCCTTCCCACTCCCCCTGCTTGTGTTCCCTCTCTCGCTGTGTCTCTCTCTGTCAAATAAATGAATAAAGTCTTTAAAAAATAAAATAAAATTTCTTTTGATATCATGCAGTTCCTGGGAATGCGACCCGCTATTAGGGGTCACAAAATATGGTTCCTTCTCTTTTTGTTTGCTTCTTAAATTGGGTGTATGTTTCCATTCTGGACTTCTCACTATTTCTCAAAAACATATAACTATGTTTGATTGTATGACATGTAACAATTTCGACATTTTACAGGTGTGCTTTGAACTTCAGAATGTCTTAATGGTGGACTTTGGTTCTTTGAATGGACCCGTATTTCTCTTGGTCCTTGCAAACTGCATTTCTCCTTACGTTGGCATGAGCAGCATCAGGGATTGCAAAGTAAGAGGGGGAGGGGAGGGGGAGAAAGATGACTTTATCTGACTTTAGTAGTTAGAATTTCATTGTTTTATGCACTCAGGATAGCTCTTCAAGAAAAATATGTTTACACATAAATATGTCATTGCTTTAATCTCATTACAGATTTTATTAAATGGTTAATCATTCAAAGGGGTCAGAAAGTTCACTATTCAACACAGTGAACTTGCCTCACCTTTAAAGGGAATCATACTAAATCAACTGTGGAGGTGAAAATGTGCTATTTTTTGACATCATGTTGTTATTTCACAATTCCAAACAAAATTTGTATTTTTTTTTAAGATTTTATTTATTTATTTGACACAGAGAGAGAGACACAGCGAGAGAGGGAACACAAGCAGGGGGAGTGGGAGAGGGAGAAGCAGGCTTCCCGCAGAGCAGGGAGCCCAATGTGGGACTCCATCTCAGGTCTCTGAGATCATGACCTGAGCCGAAGGCAGATGTCCAACAACTGAGCCACCCAGGCGCCCCTGGAATTTGTATTTTTAAACAGAGCATCAGGGCGCCTGGGTGGCTCAGTCGGTTAAGCGACTGCCTTCGGCTCAGGTCATGATCCTGGAGTCCTGGTATCGAGTCCCGCGTCGGGCTCCCTGCTCAGCGGGGAGTCTGCTTCTCCCTCTGACCCTCCTCCCTCTCGTGCTCTCTGTCTCTCATTCTCTCTCACAAATAAATAAAATCTTTAAAAAAATAAAAATAAATAAATAAACAGAGCATCAAATATAAGATATACCATGTTTCCGAAGCTTTAACTATGCTTTTGTAAAGTGGCCTTTAAAAATTGATGTGATAGTCATTTTTATTTATCTACATCAAAAAGTAAACCAACTTTACAAATAAGTCAGACCTTTCATGTTGAGCTATTGGCTATACACATTCCCACACTGGATGTCAGATACTTAGGAGAAACCTATTTTCCAGTCACAGAGACACTGTATTCTTTGTGATAGTGTTAATGTCTTAGTTGTCCTGAGGCCTGCTTACCTAAACGTGGGTTAGAAAGTTACTGAAGCTCAGATTCACCATATAAAATAATATAGACAAAAAAAAAAAAAAACCTACCTGCTACTACAACACGCTATTTCTAAAGTTTACCAAGAATTAATGTATTTGCATAAATGCAGTACATTTTCTAACTAACATTTCAAACCCTTCTATATCCCTTCTGTTTCTTTATCAGCAAAAAACTTGGTCTCAGTTATGGATTTCAGGCCTGTGTCCTTCAGCATACTGGACTGGACAGGCTTTGGTGGACATTCCGTTATACTGCTTGATTCTTCTTTCAATATATTTAATTAACTACTTCATGATTTTGGACCTCAACTTTTCACTGGGACTCATGTTTGCTCTTGTAAGTGATCATTTTTTTTTTAACCAGGCTGAATATAATAATAGAATCAAAACAAATATCTTTCATTAACACTATCATTAACAAAAGTTGTACGTAAGAAAATCGCCTCACACAGCCTTATGATCTAATTATCTCCCCATTCCCTGTCCCACACGTCACCAGCCAGCTCTCTTGCTATTGACCTTGTTGTTCGTAGGTGGTTTACATAGTTGGTTGTTCAGCTTCTCTTATATTCTTCACATACATGATTTCATTCATCTTTTGCAACAGGAGAAAGAATAGTGGCTTTTGGTCTCTTGGCTTTCTTATTGTAAGTATCTGTCCATGTAGTATGCACATTTGTATTAAGTTTTTTTTAAAACTTATTTTTAAAAATGCAAAGTTAAGTGTAAATACTTTACTTAGAAAAGAATGGAATTACTTCTTTAGTACTTCCATTACTGTTGGACCATGTTTCTGGTTTTAGTATTGTTCATTTTCTTTCTCCTATTTTCCATCTGTTCTTTGGGGTTTTTCTTTTACATCTCTGTTTCTTTGGAGAGAAGCAAAATATCTGTAGAAATCTTGGCATGGCTTATCTATCATCAAAGACTAGATCACTTGGGACAGTTCCCTCATTTTACAGAGTGGGAAAAACTTAAAAGAATCATACCTGAACCTAACCCTCTCTACTCAGTGTAGTTTTCCTCCTGAATAATTCTACTTATTAAAAAAAAAGAAGTGTGATAGGTGGCCATATTGACTAGTAACATAAATAAACATGAAAAAGTTTGGTTAATAATATGCCTTGTTGACATTTTGAGAACATACCATAGCTTTCTGATCATTTCAGATATTAAAACAGTTAATTAAGATTCACCTTAAAAACTGAAAAGGCCAGCCACATCCAAATCATAACTTTAATCTCATAAGCAGTGGATAGCTCTGTCCCCAAACCCATTTCAGGCATGTCCTTAGTTTGGGGACCAGTAGTGAGAAAGGGAGCAAGGTCTATCTTTTTATTCTTCCATTTTCTTCTGGATTTTTCTTTCTTCTGTATATCCTGGGGACAGGATAGAAGGTTTAGGGGTAAAGAGACCCAACATCGTACTTCTTTGGGCTGTTATAGTCACAGTGGCTGGTCTTTGTGGATAATATCCAAAGGTTGGATTTTGTGTGGACAGGAATGCCACAAATACAACCAGTTGGAGAACTCAGTATGCCAGCAGAAATCCTAAAGGCTATTAAATTGCTTCTTAGTCTCTAAGTGTCCTTCCTATAATACCTAATCATATCATTCCTCGGGTCAATTTTATAAGTGGTTGTGCTACAATAGTCAAATGTCCTAACAAGGTAATGCCTCCTTAACTATTGGAATTAGTCCTTGATCTATTTGTTTTTTTCCCCTTATGTTTCCCAATAAAAGGTAGATTTGTCAGTTACATCCATTCATTTAATCAATTTTGCTTTATATATTTTGAGACTACAGGTGACCCTTCAACAACATGGGGGTTAGGACCCCCAGCCCTCTACACAGTCCCAAATATGCATATCACTTTTGACTCCCCCAAAATATATACTGTTGACCGGAAGCCTTACCAATAACATAAACAGTTGATTAACACGTATTTTGTATGTTACATATATACTGTATTCTCACAACAAAGCAACCTAGAGAAAAAAATGTTATTAAGAAAACCATAAGAAAAAAAAAAAAAGAAAATCATAAGGAAGAGAAGATACATTTTCCAGTACTGTATTTACTGAAAAATACCCATGTATACATGGACCGACCTGCACAGTTCAAAATCATGTTTTTCAAGGGTCAGCTGTATTTTACTGGGTGCATTCAGTCTGGAATCATTATGTAGTGACCCTGTTTATTCTAATAATGGTTTTTGGTCTTAAAGTCAATATATCAGATATTAATAAAAGTTCACCACATCTCTTTTATTCAATATTTGCCTGGTAAATCTTTTTTGCATGTGTTAACTTTCAGCCTTCCAGTGGCCCTTATGCTTCAATGTGTGTCTTTTGTCAACTGAATATAGTTGGATTTTATTTGTTGTTGCTTTTAAATTCAATCTGACAATCCATGCTTTTAATTTAATGAATTTCTTGTGATTGTTAATATATTTCAATTTGTTTATATCATTTTACTTTATGGCTTTATATTTATGTATATTTACTTTATGGCTTTATATATTTATATGCATTATGTGGCTTCCTGTCTTTCTTGCTTTTGGTTTTTTATTCAATCAAATTTGTTTATTCTCAGGGCACCTGGGTGGCTCAGTCGTTAAGCATCTTGCCTTCAGCTCAGGTCATGATCCCAAAGTCCTGGGATCGAGCCCCGCATTGGGCTCCCTGCTCAGCGGGAAGCCTGCTTCTCCCTCTCCCACTCCCCCTGCTTGTGTTCCCTCTCTCGCTGTGTCTCTCTCTGTCAAATAAAAAAATAAAATCTTTTAAAAAACATTTGTTTATTCTCTTTTATTCTACATTTTACCCTCTTCTGGTTTGGAAGTCATAAACCAGATTTTATTACCTTAGTGGTTACTCTTTGCATTAGTTTGCTGCAAATGCCATAATAAAGTACCACAAATTGGGTGGGTTCAACAACAGAAACTTATTTTTTATCATTCTGGAGGTAGAAGTCCAAGATCCAGGTGTCTGCAGAGTTGTTTTTCTGAGGCCTTCTCCTTGGCTTGTAGATGGCCACCATCTCCCAGTGTCTTCACATGGTCTTTCGTGTGTGTCTGTGTCCAGATTTCCTCTTCTTATAAGGACAAGAGTCATATTGGATTAGGGCCCACCCCGTGACCTCTTTAATCTTAATTACCTCTTTTAAGACCCTGTCTCCAAATACAGTCATGTTCTACCGGGCTTAGAACTTCAACATATGAATTTTGAAGGGGACACAATTCAGCCCATGATATCCTTGATTTTCCCCCCATATTAAACTTAACAAAGCCTAAAGTTAGTCAATATCCTAATTACTTCCAACGCTGTGTTTGGAGACTTTATGATCAATAATTGCTTAACCTACTTACATGCTGTTCTCTAGTGTTTTGTTCTTTCTTTTTCTAAATCTCACAAATAAACATTATTATTATTATTATTTTAGGAAGTTAAAAAAGATTTGTAGACACTTTTTGTTGACCATTATTTGTTCACTATTCACACTTGGAGCTTAGTCTTTTCTCTCTCTTATTAGGGCCTTTTTTTTTTTATTCTTTTTTTCACTCTCATTCTTAAAAGTTAATTTGACTGGGGGGTGCCTGGGTGGCTCAGTTGGTTGGGCGCCTGCGTTCGGCTTGGGTCATGGTCCTGGAGTCCTGGGATCGAGCCCTGTGTCAGGCTCCCTGTGGGAGCCTGCTTCTTCCTCTCCAACTCCCTCTGCTTGTGTTCCCTCTCTTGCTGTGTCTCTCTGTCAAATAAATAAATAAACAAATAAATAAATAAAACTATACATAGAGAGCTATTAAAAAAAGTTAATTTGACTGCATATGCATTTTTTGGTTGGCAATTATCTTCTTTTATCACATAAATATACTCAACCTCTTGCTGACGTTTTTGCTATTGAGATGTCTGCTGTCAGTTCTTTTGCCACGCCTTTGTAGAAGATCCATCTTTGACTGCTCTTAAGGTCTTTGACTTTAGCATCTTTAATTTCATTACAGTGTTTCTAGGTGTGGATTTCTTTTTATTTATCTTTTTAAAAATGAATTGTGCTGCCTGAATCCATGAATTCTTTTGTCAGTTCAGGGAAATTCTCAGCCAGTATCTCTTCAAATATTACCTCTCTTACTAAAGTAAAAATAAAATATTGTTTGCTCCCTGGAGTCTACTGAGATAGTGTTAGTGTTATTCTCAGTCTATTCTCCACATCTCTTAGCATTTTGTGCAAATTTTCCATATCCTTGTCCTTGCTGCACTCTGGGAAATGCTTCAGAATTTCTGTCCAATTCAGTTATTTCGTATTCAGCTCTTTCTAATTTATTTCTGATCTTTGACTGACTTTTAAAAATTTCAACTTTGTTTTCTAAAACTCTAATTGGGGGCGCCTGGGTGGCTCAGATGGTTAAAACTCTAATTGGTTCTCTTTCAAACATGTCCAATTATTCCTCGTGGTCTTTTGTTACTTGCTTGTGTTCTTTATTCCAGGTTTGATTTCCTTATACATTTAATTGAAAATAATATTTGCTTGTTATTTGACAATTCTAATAGTCTACAGATAGTTTTAATATGTGTGTATGTGTTGGTTTTTTTTCCCTCCTCATTTACCCTTATTATGGCTGATTGCTTTGTATGTTTGGCTTTCTTTCCTTTTTTTTTTTTTTTTTTTTAACTGGGAGCACATATTTAGTTGACCTTTAAGTATGAAACTCTCAAGATGTCAAATTGGGGATGTCTTCATCCTAAAAGAATTTTCAGTTACTTTCACAAGACGTGCAGTGTAGAACCCACATAGGATTGCATAAGCCATCTTAGAGTACCATGCCTTAATATGGGATTTGCAAGGAATACTCATAAAGAGGGTTACTCTTTATTCTATTGAAGGTACTTGGAGGGAAGGACCTTAAGGAGGGCCGAAGTCTTTGCCTGTCCATCCCCAAACTGGAATAAGCATTTGTTCCCAGGTCTTTCAGATTTAGTGTTTACTTAAAGGTCCAAGTCAGGTTTCAGACTTTGTTTTTGCCCTTAAAGAATTCCCTCGGATCCTTAGACTTCAGAACTCTCTTCCAACATGGCCCAAGACAACTCTCCAAACAAGACCATAACAATGAATCAGAGACGCAGCCGCACCAAATTCACAGAAGATCAATTGAAAATCCTCATCAAGGCATTTCATCAAAATCCTTACCCAGGTTATGCTACCAAACAAAGACTCGCTTTAGAAATCAACACTGATGAGTCCAGAATCCAGATATGGTTTCAGAATCGAAGAGCTAGGCACCAGTGCCAGAAAAAATCAGAACCCGATGAGGACTTAGAATCAAGTCAAGATCAAGATCACTCTGAAGAAGAGATTCAAAGTAGAGAAGACAGACGGTGTCATACCAGCTACACTTCTTCGCAATTACACACCCTCATCGAGGCATTTATGAACAACCCTTATCCTGGCATTGATACCAGAGAGCAACTTGCTAAAGAAATTGGCATTCCAGAGTCAAGAGTCCAAATTTGGTTTCAAAGTTGGAGATCCAGATTCCATGTCCAGAGAAAAAGAGAACCTGATGATCAAGACTCAGAACAGAGACAAGACCAGGAACAGGATCTCTGAATGAGAGTTCAAGGCGCCACACCCAACGTGACCTCAAACTCATGACCCCAAGATCAAGAGTCACATCTCTACTGACTGAGCTAGCCTGCTGCCCCTGAAGCAGATATTTTAAAAAGTAAAATATCTGGTCAAATAGGGATTTCTACAAGGAGTGTGGTAATTTTAAATATGCTAAAATTTCAAACCCAGTTAATAAAGTTACATTCCAAAAAAAAAAAAAAGAATTCCCTCACTGTTTTTCTGAGGCTAGCAGTGTATTTGAAGGGCATTTGTTTCAAATGGTGTGGGTAAGGTCTTTTTAGGATATCTATTCCTCTGTATTTCTACATATAGAAGTCTACCACTAACTTGTAAAACTGCAGTTTTGTAAAGCAGTGAATATAGAATCTAGTTTATAGCAGATGGAGGAGTAAATATAAAAAGGGGAAGTAGAAACAGGAAGTGTTTTACAACTCCTTAAAATGTACTGTTGTTGCTATTGTTTGCCAGAGGGAAGATTTAATGGGAGGATTCTTTTTTATTTTCCTGATGTTTGGGACAAGATAGATGAGGTAATTAGTGCAGTAAGATAATGGAAAGAAAGGGAATAGGAGGAAGGAGGTAGGGTGGTCAAAGATAAGTTATTTCATTGCATTTATAGAATTAGAAAGTTTAACTTCAGTTTTCTAAAACTTAAGACATATTGCTCTATATTTTGTTAAAGCAAAACCTTTAACCATTATAAATGGTAAGGGCAATAAATCTTCAAAGAGATTCTGATACAAGGTTATAAAATAAACTAATGAACCCTAAGATTATTTCAGTTTATATTGCTTTTTCCTTCAGAAAATGTTTCTTGTTCTTGTGGAGGAAACATTATTTATATGCTTTTTGGTTGTATTGTTTCATAGATATCTTGACACCCAACACATTGTACATTAGCTGGATGTATGGACAATTGACTCATACAACAAAAAGTAGAGTGGTTAAGAGTTTGGGCTCTGGAGTCAGATGGCCCCCAGTTTGAATCCTTGATCTAGCACAGACTAGTTAGAAGTCAATTGGGCAAGTTACTTCAGTTATCTGAACCTCAGAAAATATGTATAATAACAATAGTACTCTAAAGGGTTAAGATTGAGTTTTTCAAAGCACATTAACTATCAGAGTGCTAGTAAATAGTTCATCCAAGTACTTGGCAAACAGTAAATGCTCCATAGATGCTCAATAGGAGTTTCTATCCTCTTCTCTTTCTCCTCTTTTCTTACAACTACAGTAACTACAGTCCCACTTAACAAAATGTTTTGCATAAATTGGACCCTTAATATGTATCTTTTTTGATTGTTTGATGAATAAAAAACATAATGAGAAATCCTCCTTACTCTTTGCCTTCCCAATATTCATTCATTGATATTTATTGCATTTCTCTGTTAATGTGCCACTTTGCTTGAACAAAACAGTCTTTGCAATCAGAGGGCTTACATTCAATGGAATATGTAAAAGAAAGTGATTCTTATTCAAACCGAACCAAACCATTCTTCAGAATGTCCCCTGGATTTGTAATGGAAGGAGAACCAGAGCCAGGGAGTCCGCTTACGAAACTACCAAAGTAGTCTGGGTGGGAATATGGGCTGCTACCTACAGTGCAGTGCTGTCCCTATTATTTGTCTCTGAGGAATTTTTTTAGCATAGTTGACACACAGTGTTCCATTAGTTTCAGGTGTACAGCTTGGTGATTCCACAAGTATACATTATGCTATGCTCACTGCAAGTGTAGCGACCATCTGTCACCATACAATGCTATTACAATGTCATTTACTCTACTTCTTATGCTGTGCCTTTTATCCCCATGACTTATTCACTCCTCTGAGGATGTTTTAAACCTTTCAATTTTCCTACGTTAGTATCAAAATGGATAATTCTTGTATTTCTCCTATTGCTTAAATATGGCAATAAATACCCACCTCAATATTTATTTTGTCCTTTAAGTTCCCAAGTCATATTGCCAGTTAATTCTTAAGTTTATCCTGATGGTGAAGGCATTTGAGGATTCTGGGTGATAAAATAATGTTACATCCCTTCTTTTTTTGTTGCTCTCCATCCATATCAGATAGTACAAAATCTTTTAGATGAGTATGTCAGAGTTTATTATAATCCTGTGTTGTAATGATAGTTTCATGCTTCCTAAAGAGGAAATCCTAACAATATAGCTATATATAAGGTGAAAACTGAAAATGAGAATATCTCCTAGGAAAACAGATTCTTCATAGAAAATAGCTTAAAATATTATATAGTGACTGAGAAAATTATAATACCTCTGGCTATTTTTCTTTTAGATCTCATTACTTTTACTCAACTTCCTATCATCAGCTGAATTTGAAAAACCCAGTTTAATTTTATGCATGATTTCAATGCCTTTCTACACTTTAATTGGATTTTTCATGTTTTTAGTAAAGGTGAGCAATATTACCCACTGTGTGACTGGCCTTAACCATGTAGCCCATTAATAAAATCTTTGCCCAATGTTGGAACAGGTATAAAATTTAGAAGTTATTCAATGCTGATAAGTTCTGAAATTAAGATTGCAAAACTGAATAAGGTTGATCTCTGTGTTTAAGTCCCTTTTCCTAAAAAATAAGACTGCATGGAAGATGTGACATAATGCACTCTTTAATTGCTTGGCACTTAGTGTCAATAAATTGCTTTGGAGGTGTGATTGGAAAGGGAAGAAAAGTGTGTTGCTACAAAGCACTTCTGGGAGAAACCAAGCACTACTGTGAATTTGGGGCAACTGTTGATAAATCTGATCTACCTCACAGTTCTGTACTTTATCATTTCCCCTAACTTAAGTGTACTCCCCTAACCTAAGTGCACTCCTTAACGAGCACAAGGTAATGTATGGAACTGTTGAATTACTATATTGTACTCTGGAAACTAATATAACACTGTATGTAACTAACTGGAATTAAAATAAAAACTTAAATAAAAGAATAGTTAATGCTCTATAGTATTTTCTTAACAGAAGGCAGATAAAAAATATTCATTTGGAGGATGAATCGGAATGATTGTAAAGCTATAGTCAAAAGATATTTTATTTATTTTATTTTATTCCATTGAGCCTATTAAAAGGATTGAAATGTTTGTTCTTAAACTGTTATATATATATATGTTTGTGTATATATATATATATCTCCTGCCAAGCCCACTAAATGGTAGTAATTTTTAAAAATCCATTTAAGATTTTTAAGAAAAAATATTTGACTCTTCTAAGGAAACATTCATTTTTAATAAGATGAATAAAGAGAATTATATAGTCTCCCTTGTTTACCTATTTTATAGAACTGATAGAGATGCAAAACTAAATTTAGTGCTTAATTTCAATAATTATCTTATTCTGATATTTAACACATCTATTTCTAGTTATTTTACAATTGTAAAAAAATTAGCTGTCTCCTGTTACTTGGGTTTTAACATTCTGATCAACTTCAGTTGGTTTTTGGAAAGAGATGAGGATGATGAAAACAGAACAGTAACCAGAAAGAATACTGCAAGAATTTTCCAGAAAGAATACTGAGAATTTTCATAGACATTAGGATACATCCAAACAAAATATACAATATTCACGTGTTAAAAATAATATCAGGCTAGGGAGCCTGGGTGGCTCAGTCATTAAGCGTCTGCTTTGGGCTCAGGGCATGATCCCAGGGTCCTGGGATCAAGCCCCGCATTGAGCTCCCTGCTCAGCGGGAAGCCTGCTTCTCCCTCTCCCACTCCCCCTGCTTGTGTTCCCTCTCTCACTGTGTCTGTCTCTGTTAAATAAATAAATAAAATCTTAAAAAAAAATAATATCAGCCTAGATGAAAAAAAAAAAAGAAATCTGCAAATCCCCACTACATAAAATTGGAAGACAAAATATTGGAGATTACAACCAAGGAAGAATGTCAGCTCGTCAACAGACTTTAGCATCAGAGAACAAGTCTTATCCCAATTCATGGATTATACCCTGGCACCCCAAGGAACATCAAGTACAATATATGCATATTTAGTGTATAGATTTTATATGCATCAAGCAGAGAGACTTTCATTTAGCCTTTGTTTTCTTTCAACAGCTATCCCATATATATATGAAACACTTGGAAGGTCTGGATAATGAAATCAAGGAAGGCCATGAAAGCATTCTCTTAACAGTCTTAATCATAAGAAAAATTTTCTACCAGAATGTCTATTGCATAGGATTCATAACTGTGTAATATACTTGATCTTATTCAAATAACGGCAAATTTAAATATCCTAAAAATACTCACTCTTACTATATTCTACATTCGAATATAATGGCAGCAAAACGTGAAGGTATTTTTCTTTTTCTTTTTAAAAAGAAAAAGATTTATTTATTTATTTTAGAGAGCGAGAGAGAGAGCATGGGTGGGGGGAGGCAGAGGGAGAGGGAGAGAGAGAATCCCAAGCAGACTCCCCACTGAGCACAGAGCCTGAGTGAGGCTCAATCCCACAACCCTAAGATTATGACCTGAGCCGAAATCAAGAGCCCATTACTTAACCAACTGAGCCACCCAGGTGCCCCAAGGGTATTTTTCTATATGGAGTCAATGACAGTATAATGTATACCAGAAATACTAAAGACTTGATTGCTATTATTATATGTTACTGATACGATATATATCCAAAGACAATTTGAAGTGATTTATATATAAATACCACAAATGCTGTCTGACTAAAATTCATTTAAATATGGATAAAAAAACTAATTTGAGTAATGAAAAAGAAAGTTAAAAAATTAAGTGGAATTTTATTTTATTATTTTTTTAAGATTTTATTTATTTTAGAGAGAAAGAGAGCACAAGCAGGGGGCAGAGGGAGAGAAAGACTCTCCCAACAGACTCCCTGCTGAGTGTGGAGCCTGTTTCAGGGCTCGATCTCACAGCCCTGAGATCATAACCTGAGCCGAAGCCAAGAGTGGGGCGCTTAATCAATGGAGCCACCCACGCACCCCTTAAGTGCAATTTTAAACTGGAGAAGACACTGAAATAAAATATAAATGTTGTATCTGTGCATTATGGTAACTGAGACAGAAAAGAGGAACAAAATGGATTACAGACCTTTTTTTCTCTTAATGACAGAAGACTTATTTGTTGAGGGAGAAGATTTCCTAAGTTTTTATAAATTTATAAATTTTTGAAATTCTATACATTTCCACATGAGTCTTTGTATATCAAGTGTATATTCTTTGTTTTATAAATAAATGCAGAGATGTTCTGCACACAATTATTTTTAATTGCCCACTAATAAATACTAAAGTTATACAATTGTTTGATTAGAGCATATATTCATTACAATGTGCAGTCCTGGGTAACAGAACAGACCAACCGTGGAATGTAATGCTATTGCTCGCAGGCATCCTTACATTGTTTATGATTTTACTCAGAATCTTCTTAGTACTTAGTCATTAGCATTCTGTTAACTGTTTATAATATGGAGTATTTGTTAATTCTCTCAGTTCCTAGTTTACTAGAGGTTTTAGTCTTTGCTTATTGATTTATTTATCAAGAATGAGTCTTGAATTTTATCAAAGGTTGTGTGCATCAAGAATAATCAAAATTTGGGACGCCTGGGTGGCTCAGTTGGTTAAGCATCTGCCTTTGGCTCAGGTCATGATCCCAGGGTCCTGGGACCAAGTCCCACATCGGGCTCCCTGCTCAGCGGGGAGCCTGCTTCTCCCTCTACCTGCTACTCCCCCTGCTTGTGCTCGCTCTCTCTGTGACAAATAAATAAAAATCTTAAAAAAAAAAAAATCAAATTTTTTTTTACTAAATCTATTAAGATAATGAATGCATTTTATTTCATTTTTCATAATGTTTAAGAAATCTTTCCCTCTCTGAGGTCATGAAAATATTCTTTTATATCGTCCTCTAAAAGATGTATATTTTCCTTACACATTTATGTTTTCAGTCATCTGAATTTGATTTTTTTCCGTGTTGAAAGGTAAGGGTCTATTTCATTTCTGTCTTTCAAGATACCCAATTGCCCAACACCACTTGTTGAAAAGCCTGTGCTTTTCCATTGATATTCAGGGCCACCTCTGTTCATATATAAAATGTCCACATATGCAGGGTCAATTTCTGGGATTTCTATTCCAATTTGTTTGCTTCTGCTTCTGCCAAATTCTTTGGGATGCTTACCCGTTTGGTACTGCTTTTAACTAAATTCCAGGCTTGAGATTTTTTGGACAATTCAGGTGATGTGAATTTAGGCTACAAATCTGTGCATAGGCTGGCTTCTCTTTCCACTTCATTTCCTACGGTCAGCTCTCCCAGGTGTTCTTTATGTCCTTCACCAAGGGTGAAACCCTTTGAGGCCCCACTTTATTAGTTAAAGGATCACCTATTCTAGTCCTTGCTTGGAAGAAAATTCTATACTCGTATACTTTCTTCTGTCATCTTCTCCTGCAGAGTCTGTGAAAACTGAAATTTGAAGGTTTCAGGGTTTGGAGAATAACTTCAGGTCGAGAGTTGCTTTGTTGTCAAGCCTACTCCCTACATCCACTTAGATTTGGCTTAAAAAGTCCTTACTATTAAACAAACAAACAAACAAACAAATCCTTACTATATTGTCAGCTTTTCTATGTCTTAAAAAAGTAGTTTTTTAAATTTAATGCGGGATTTTTAGTTGCGCCCCCTTTCCACCCCCCCCCATGAGAGGGTTGGTTTGGATAAACTTGTCTTGTGAAAGTATTTTATAAGGGTTTTGTCAAATTTATAAGAAAATGATCAAATCTTCCATGAGAAAAGGCAAATACTGTCCACTGAATTTGAATCCCACGATGATGCTAATTCTAAATCTCTTTCTTTGCCTTTACCCATACCTTCAGAGTAGCATTTTCCTTTTCGTTATAAGGTGTCTGGAAATGAAGTATGTAAAAGAAACAATGAGGAAAGATCCAGTTTTCAGGTCAGGAACATTTATTAACATCTGAATATAATTTAAATATTTAATGTTTGTAGCAGTACATTTAACATCAATTTATTAGGTTAGATTTGCTATCCAATTCTTAACCAGGCACATTAGACATTGTCATTCTGGGGAAAAAACCCAGCATAACAACATTGGATTGAATGCAGGGATACATAGTTTTGAAGTCACGGGTCTTACCGATTTTAGGCAAGTTGAGTTTTTGTTCTGTGCATCTCTCTTAACAGTGGTTAAACCCCAAAGCTTATTTTTTCTCCTGCTTACAACAAGTTCAGTCCCCAAGGAGAAGACATGATAATGAGCTGGTGTGTTCAGTATGTGTGTGGAATGTTTTGAAAAGGGAAGAGAAGCCAATTCTGGTGATAATTTATGATGTAATGTGAGGACCATCTGGATGGCCGCAGACTGAAAACACTGATAAGTCTGTATCTGAGGGAATTTCCAGAGCTAGTTGACAGATGGGATAAAAGGTTTTAAAGACCACCGTCAAAATATTTCAAGGGATATGGCTACCTACAAGGGGAATCTTGTAGGTAGTAAATTAATCATTTTCTTTCTTTTAAAGCAGAGGATAAATTAAGTGTAGAGGCTTACATTCTCTTGATAGTTGTTGTACAACTAGAATCACATTGTTATGTTATTTTATTTTCTCTGTAGGATCTCCTCAAGAAGTAGGGAAAATCATCCAAATCCAGAAGAGCCAGAAGAAGAAGATGTTCAAGCTGAAAGAGTGAACACAACAGATGCACTCACTACTCTGAACCTGAATGAGGTGAAAACAAGTAACTTGAACCCTTTATAAAACACTGGGCTAGGTAGCTTGTCCTGTAGAGTTGACGAACTCCTTGTTTTTATTTTCAAAACATGCTTTTGTTTCTGTAACACTAGCACATGTAGGTCATATTTAAATCACATCCTTTGAAGTATCTATCTTGTCATGACTCTTAATTTTCTCTTCTTCAGTTTTTTGTGGATCTTAACCTGCCAGGTCTTTATTCATCAGTGTAATTCAAAACATTCTCTGATATTTTTATCAACCTTAACAAGATCTCACATCTTTTGCAAGAGTCTAAGTTTCATTTTGCATGATATTGAAGTCATGACATTAATAACTATAATTAGCAAGCAAATTTACACTGTATGGAAATCAATAAGAAACATACCAGAAATGAAATTAGTGCCAAGGGCATAATGCAAACCCAATGCATTTGATTAGAAATTAGTTTTCTAGGGCGCCTGGGTGGCTCAGTTGGTTAAGCGACTGCCTTCGGCTCAGGTCATGATCCTGGAGTCCCTGGATCGAGTCCCGCATCGGGCTCCGTGCTCGGCAGGGAGTCTGCTTCTCCCTCTGACCCTCCCGACCCTCCCCCCTCTCATGTGCTCTCTCTCTCAGTCTCTCTCAAATAAATAAATAAAAATCTTAAAAAAAATAAAATAAAATAAAATAAAAAAAGAAATTAGTTTTCTAAGTAGTAATCTCCTCTCATGAACATACATTTGGGTACTTCATTTAAAAAAAAGAGGCTGAACAAAATCTGGTTATATTCCTAACCTAGGACATGAAAGATAAAACATGAGTGCACAAAATATCTGAGATTTAACAGGAAAATCATGTTTTGTCATGTTTTAACAGGAAAATCATGTTTTGCCAGTCATAATGGCAAGCTGTTTACACAAGGAATATAAAGAAAAGAAAAGAAAGTTGCTTTTCAACAAGAAAGAAGAAAATAGCCATAAGAAATGTCTCCTGCGTTAAAAAAGGTTTGGACAATGTTGGTTGGACAAGGATGCTGCTCTTAGTACTTCATGGTGGGGGGTAGGGCTCATTCACACTTTGTAGCGGGAGGAAGGGAGGAACATGTCATTTCCTCATTAAATATGGAAAGGTCTTTAAATTTAAATGCAAATAAAATGATGGGAAATCTGAAGAAGAACCAAATCATAAGATTTAGTGTTTGTGATGATGTTAATGGTCCTTTAATATACTTTAATATACTATTTTCAGGTTGATGGTGCTAAGGTTTTCTATATTGTTGGTTTAGGTAGGAACATGTGCTTTGTGCATAATCACAGTGGGTTTTTTTTTTTGGTCAGATTGGTGGAAGCTCTCAAGCCCCAGAAACAACTTAAAATTCCCACGAAGTCCTTATCTGAGGGAGTAAAGAGGAAGGTAGGAGGGGGGCTCCACGTTACTCTGCGCACCCCACACGTCGGTGCCAGACATGCTGTTCTCCCGTTCCAGCTGTGCTTGGCGCTGAGCATCCTGCGAGACCCGTCAGTGGTGATTCTGGACGAGCTGTCCACGGGGGTGGACCCCGAGGGATAGTAGCAGATGTGGTGAGGGGCATCATATTAAGTGTAGAGTTAGTAGTATGAGTCTAGAGTTAATATATTTTTTTTACATTTGCTCCATTGTATCTTTGAGGCTCACATCCTCTAGTATTTAATTCGGTGAAACTCAGTATAGTGCTCACAATTCCCCAAGGAAGGAAAGATAGACATTTTAAGAATCTAATAGAATCTTGCATGTGTTTGCTTTGATTTTCTTTTTCTTACTCCTCTTCCCCTGCCTCATTCTTCTTCTTTTATTCTTCAGTTATGGACAATCCTACAATGTGGTGTTTCTCTTCACTCCAACTTTTTAAACAAACATATTTTATTATTTCCCAATCTTCAACTTTTCATTCTATGAAGCCAATTAATGTGGTAATATAATTACATAACGCAGTATAGTTTTTTTCTTTCTCTCTAGAGCAAAGATTTTTTTTCTTGTCAATGAATACAGAGTTTTCTATTATTCCTCATACTTCTTTCTGTTCACCTGTTTTCCCAAATCATTTTCTAAATGCAAACAGCCCCTTACTTTATCTTTAGGCAGGCAATTCAGACCATTGTTAAAAACACAGAGGAGGCGCCTCCTGACCACCCACGCCATGGCAGAGGCCGTGTGTGATGGAGTGGCCATCATGGTGTCCAGAAGGCTGAGGTGGGTGCCCGTCCACACCCACCTCACAGAGCCCGTCCACACACCCCAAGTTCTCACAGAGAGAATTACAGTTCACTGTGACCAGCTGGTGCTCTTCAGCTCCTCAATCTATGATCACTTTCCTCTGCCTTGGCAGTTGAGGAGGAAATTAAAAGACCAATTTTTTTTCTTTCAACTCTTTTTTTCTCTTCCCTGGATTAGGTGTATTGGATCCACTCAACATCTGAAAAGAAAGTTTGGTAAAGATTATTTTCTAGAAATAAAAATGAAGGACCCGACTCGAGTGGAGCCTCTCCACACAGAGATTCTGAAGCTCTTTCCACAGGCTACTCGGCAGGAAAGGTAAAGGACGTTTTTGGTTTGGGTGACAAGTGTACAGCACACTCAATTTAGTCTTGGATGAATCTGGACAGGAAGAGAAAGGCTGAGCTGGCTTACTTATTACAAAACAAGTTGTTTGGAGGTCACTCGGATGTACAGAAAAAAGAGCAACTGAAGAGTCTTTTTCAGTGAGTGTTTCATATCTCAGAAAAGGTGGATGAGGTGTGTGTGTGCTCATGTGCCTGTGTATGTAAATGATGGAATGGTTCAAAAATTAGAAACAAAGTACAAACAAAATCAGGAATTTAATTTTTTTTAAAGATTTTATTTATTTATTTGATAGAAAGCACAAGTAGGCAGAGAGGCAGGCAGAGGGAAAGGGAGAAGCAGACTCCCCACTGAGGAGGGAGCCCGATGCAGGACTCGATCCCAGGACCCTGAGATCACGACCTGAGCTGAAGGCAGCTGCTTAACTGACTAAGCCACCCAGGTGGCCCTTAATATTTTTTAATAGACAATGAAAATTATGCATCAACCTATAGCATTTTACTGAATGTAAAATTACATCAAGAGCTCTAATAACACACACTCCTTTGCTTGAGAAAGATTCACTCTATCCTAAATTAATTGATTATTGGTATTTAATCCTCTCTATGGTTCTTTTAAATTTGTGTGTGGTTAGCTGTCAGTTACAAGCAGGGATAACCAAACCTATGTGAATAGCAGAATAAAGTTGAATTGAATTTAAAGAAGTCTGGGGCGGGGCGCCTGGGTGGCTCGTTGGTTAAGCCTCTGACTCTTGATTTCAGCTCAGGTCATGATCTCAGGGTTGTGAGAGGAAGTCCCATGTCCTACTCTGTGCTCAGCAGGGAGTCTGCTTGGGATTCTCTTTCTCCCTAACCTCCTGCCTCTCCCCCCTGCTCACACTCTCTCTAAACTAACTAACTAAATGACTAAATAAATAAATAAATACAATCTTTTTAAAAAAAGAAAGATGTACAGGGTTTTCTTATGTATTACTTCTATTCATTTTTTTTAAATAATACTTATTGAGGGGCACCTGGGCTGTTCAGTTGGTTGAGCATCCGACTCTTGGTTTGGGCTCAGGTCATGATCTCATGGGTTGTAGAATCAAGCCCCACATTGGGCTCCACACTCAGTGAGGAATCTGCTTGAAGATTCTCTCCCACTGCCCCTTCCCTCACTTGTGCTCAATCTCTCTCTAAAATAAATAAATAAATCTTAAAAAAATAATACTTCTTGAATACCTACTATATGCTGGAGACCATGTATAGAGTAGTCAATAAATAGAGACGATTCTTATGGTGCTCACAGTCTTTGGGGGACAAGGATATTAAGGAAATGAAGATACAAAGAAATGAGGAAATGGCATTAAAGTAGGACTTCAAAACTGAGAAAAGTTTGGCCACTGAAGAATGGGGATAAGAGGTACTCTTGAGAACACAGAATGTGCAAAGAACTTAAGTCAAGATGTACTTTATACATGCAGGGGCGTCTGGGTGGCTCAGTTGGTTAAGTGTCTGCCTTCAGCTCAGGTCATTATCCTGGGACCCTGGGATTCAGCCCCGCATCAGTCTCCCTGCTCAATGGGGGGCTCTGCTTCTCCCTCTTCCTCTGCCTGCTGCTCCCCCTGTTTGTGCTCTCTCTCTCAAATAAATGAATAAAATCTTTAAAAAAAAAAACTTTATACATGCAGAGGATGGAAAGAAAGCTCATATAGTTGATGTGTAAAGAGATATCCAAGTGGAGATGCCAGAATACAGAGATGTAGGGCTCTGGCTCAGAAGAAAAGGCAATCATCAATGTGGAGCATTTTTACCAAATAGAAGATCATTAAGTTAGGAGAGTGGGTGAAGTCAACAAGGGAGATGGAAAAGGGAGGTCTAGGTTGGGCCCCAGGAACTCTCAGTATCGAGCCTGGATTGAGGAAGAAAAGCTGGTGGGGAAACTACCACACCACAATAACCATAATGACAAATAATTCAAGTGTGTCTAAAACAGCTCTATCCTACAGAATTTCTGCAATGATGGAAATGTCCTATGTCTTTGCTGTCCAATATGGCAGCCAATACCCACATGTGGTCATGGAACACTTCAAATGTGGCGGGTGTGACCAAGAGATTGAATTTTATTTATTTTAGTTAATTTAAATTTAAATAGCCACATGGAGATAGTAGCTAAAATATTAAACAGCAGGTCTAGTGGGTTAGAAAGTCATAAATTTTGGTGGTTTCAGGAGCTGAGAGAGTGTGTGTTAGTTTTAAGGGGGATGTTTACTACTTTATTTAATGCTTTTGAGAAGTCTTAAAAATAGGATGAGTGTTCACTGGGTTGTGCAACACGGAGGTCACAAATGAACTTATTTGGGAAGAGGGGAGCTGGAGGTCAAGAAAGAATTTTTTTTTTTAATAAGAGAAAGTTCAACAGGTTTCAATATTATGAGAGACTGAAAATTAAAAGCAGAGGGGAAAATCTGATGAAAGTGTTCCAGAGAGCATGTTAAAGTATTGGCTTTTGAAAGTAAGAAATATAGCACAGGAAGAAAGATGGCATGGGCTAAGGATGAAAGATTCTTTATCAGTAATTTTTCAGAATTTATCTTGAATTGAGAGCAACCAGATTTTTGTTGTTACCAGGTTTTTATCACTAAAGATATTTGGCTCAGATTCATGCTTTATCAAATTAAACTATTTACCTTTTTATTTAAAAAAACTGAAATTTTTAGGGTGCCTGGGTGGCTCAGTCAGTTAAGTGTCTGCCTTCCCCTCAGGTCATGATCGTGGAGTCCTGGAATCAAGTCCTGCATCGGGCTCCCTGCTCAGCAGGGAGTCTGCTTCTCCCTCTCCCACTGCCCCTCCCTCTGCTCCTTCTCTCTCTCTCTCTTTCTCTCTCTCTCTCTCAAATAAATAAATAAATAAAATCTTAAAAAAAAAATTTTTTTTAGCTATCAATTTCTCCCCAATATTGTAACACTGCAATAAATCTGACTTTTTCCTTCTCCCAGATATTCCTCCATGATAGTGTCTAAATTACCTGTGGAAAAGACGTTCACCCTCTATCTTGGGCCTTTTTCAAATTAGAGGCAGGTAAGTTTAGACATACTTAGACTTTATCTGTTGTGCATATTTTCACATGGAATATGTACTATATGAGTTCAAGTAGAAGAATTATATAATCAGTCAAAACTTAGAAAATCTCCACTGGATTCATCTTATATATTCTATAGGGAGTGTAGTGGGTGGCTTTACACTCAGGTTTATTCCACCTGATTTTTCCTCTGCTAACAAGGAGACTCAGCTGCAAGTGAGTTAGAATATTCTGTCCTGGTTCCACTGCATGGTATTGGAGAATAATTATCAACATGTTGTCCCAAAGAATACTGAGTTGAGCTTCTTGCTTGTCCATATTTATCATAGTCAGAGGTGTGAGGAGCAAGAATGTGGCACCTGGGTGGCTCAGCCGTTAAGCACTTTTGGTGAAAAACATGTAAGCCTTTAATGTCAGTCCCTTTCTTTTTTTTTTTTAAAGATTTTTTATTTATTTATCTGAGAGAGAGAATGGGAGACAGCATGAGAGGGGGAGGATCAGAAGGAGAAGCAGACTCCCCGCTGAGCAGGGAGTCCGATGCGGGACTCGATCCTGGGACTCCAGGATCATGACCTGAGCTGAAGGCAGTTGCCTAACCAACTGAGCCACCCAGGCGCCCTGTCAGTTCCTTTCAATGCAGTGAAACAGACCTTTGATATGGAAGAATACAGCCTCTCTCAGGCTACCTTGGAACAGGTGAGTTTTCTTTAAACCAGCGAGCACCATCCAGGGAGCCTTTGTGTGAATCTCTGTGCACATCGTCTTTCAGAAACACCCTGACATTTTTGTTTCCTTATTTATTTCCTCCCTACTTAGGTATTCTTAGAACTCTCTAAAGAACAGGAGCTGGGAAGTTTTGATGATCAAGTTGATACAACAGTTAGATGGAAACTCCTCCCACAGGAAGAGGCTTAAAACCCTGAATCTCCTAACATGAGATTTTAGGTCCTACTACATTATTAGTTTCCAGAATTCTAGAACAATCTTCCAAATTACCACAGGTAACAAACACACTCAGTAGTTCTAACATTCAATAATGATTAAGAATTTAAATGGTTTTTTATGTTTTAGAATGGAAGGGAGAGGCAAAGATAGGGAAAGGTAGTGAACATTAACATAATCAGACATTATACTAATCACTAATAAGGCCTATTTTTGCTCAGTATTAATTCAAAAATCACATAATATTAATCCAGTTTTTTAAAAAATTATTTTCAATATAGCTGAATGCTGAGCACATTTTACAAACAAAACATTGGAGGCTGGGGTGCCTGGGTGGCTCAGTCGGTTGAGCATCTGACTCTCGGTTTTAGTTCAGAGTGTGATCTCAGGGTTGTGAGATCGAGCTCTGTGTTGGGCTCTGCGCTCAGTGGGGAGTCTGCTTAAGATTCTCTCTCTCCCTCTCCCCATCCCCACCCTGCCAGTCTCTTTCTCTCTCTCTCTCAAAAAACAAACAAAACATTCAGCTGGGGAAGTCCTGAAAGCATGATCAAGCTAAAGGAAAGCCTGTCCCCCTCCCCCTGCAGAACCAGCTTGAGGATCCTGTGGAGTGGAAAAAAAAAAAAAAAAAAAAAACTAGGAAAAACTCCAGATACTCAGCTAAGTTTTCAAAAGGATTTTCATATGTTAAAGAATACCCACAGGATACAGGAGGCCTTGCCATTTGACCTCTAGCAAAGTATTAACATTAAGGGGTTAAGACAGTGAGAGCTCCCTGGAGAAATGTCACACATATCCCACCCAGGAGCTGGGGGTGGTTAGTTGCAGGGTGTCAGCTTGTGCTTTGTCCTCAGCTAGCCTTCCACTCCCTCATCAAAAGGAATATTAAAGAAATGCCATTTATAACTCATGAGTTCAGTGGTACTCCTGCATGTATGAAATCTCGTTTAACCTATTGTTAAATCAATGATGTTATGAAAGACATCAACAAGACAGTTATTAGTAAACATAAGATCCTATATCAACCAAAAATCTATGAGTTCTGTGGCCAGAATTCTAGCACAGATTCATTGATGAAGAAACAAAAAATACCAAAGGTTATTATTTTACAGTGGAAGCTGACATAAAGGAATCCACAGCTTTGAAAGTTGACTCCAGGTTCTGTATTCTACAACATTGCCAGAGGCTATCAGAGATCTGAGGGGGAGGCTTTACCCATTATGTTATAACCTAAGGCCCTTGTGAGCTTTTGAATGGGCCAACAGTAGGGTTTAGGTTGAGAGGCTATTCCTGCAATTTCTTTACATAAATAATCTCCTTAGCTTTTAATTTTTTCTTGTTTCTTCTAAAAATAGAACATTTTGTGATAAAATGTATGTACTTAAAATTTTACTTTATTTCAGCAAATATTTAACCACCTACCACATAACACTATGTGCTAGGTACATAATGCAACTAAAAAATGTTCATGTCTAGTGTTTGTGTTTAATAAACAATGCTGCAGACCCCATACGGTAGCTACAGATGTAGTAATGGAAGAAGGTCAAGAAAATAAGGTCAAGGATACTCAGGCCTTTTGGAATTAAAGGTCATTAGTGTCTAAATTCCATCAATGGCATTTCAAGTCTACAGGCAAACTTCCTAGAAGTTGGAATTGGAGACAGTTTACTCATCTGATTATTCTACTTTCCCATCTGACATTAGGGTTGAACTTATGTGAAATGCATTCTGTATAAACCAGTTTATAAACATCAGTCTATAATGAAATTGTACTAGACGTGTCTTGAGATGGAAAAAATAATGTGTATGAGCAGGTTGATAGTGGTAGTGGGCATGGAAAATGGGTGCTTGGATTATAAGAATTTAGCCATGTTTCTCCTCTGCACGTGGGGACACTGGTCTATGTCTGCACCCTCTATTTGGCAGTTTCATCCCTATAACAGAGAAAAAAAGTGTCTCACCAGGCCCTGTGGCCTGGTTAACACTGTCACTGTGATGATGATACAGTACATTAGGGACACTGCAAAAAAAATGTAACATTGACCTAATCAGGTGCCAAGAGAGTCCAACAACCAACTGCTGTGCTCAATCTAGATCCCTATATTATGTGTCCTGAATGAAAAAGATCATTGGCCAGATGAGGAGAACTGGACTGCAGAAAGACTGAACCTTACTTAGTAGAAAAGTCAGCAAAATTTTCTGAAGAAAGAAACACAGCTAATTTCAGAAACAGGGAAGACCTTAAAATACTATTTAGAATTTTGTTTTAGTCACATTTGGGAGTGCTTGCTGAGTTTATGATTTTTTTCCTTTTCTAAGGACAGCTTTATCTCTTTTTGGCAGTTCACGGAGTGGGGCCTCTAGCAGCTGCACCTACATCATGGGACTCCAGACTAGCGATTACAACAGATGAGCCAGAGCGGTACCAAATCCAGGCAGGGATCATTTGAGATCCATCCCAGAGGTCTGAGCAAGAACAGAAATGCTGACAGTTGGCATACCTCTATAGAGAGGTCCGCAAACTCTGAGATTTTGTTCTAGAGTAATGCTGGTCTAATCCCAAGAGTGGATCCTAGTCACTCTGACCACAAAATGGGCATTTGTACATGTTCTTCACCAAGCAGATAAGCAACATACAGAAGCTTATAAGAGGAAAACATGCAAAAGGAGAAGAAATAGAAAGCTAGATTTACTGCTGCAGCTAAAATTCCAGGAAACTTATAGTTCTAATATGCTGCCAAAATTCCTAAGTTTCAGTTTACTTGAAAATTTTCTTTATCTAGAAAGTGACTTGTGAACACATACTTTGTTTTGCCTCAATAAAGCTTTGATATAGTCCTAGATAGCCAGACCTCCCCATATCCACAAACTTTCTGGACACAGAGAGTCAGCTCTCTACCATGTACTTGAAAGTATAATCTGGGAGCCAATGGACAAAATAAAGTTGGCAAGAAAGAAGAGGCATCTACCATCTCCACTTAGGAGTCCACAACCTTTCAAGAGAAAAGCTTACCTTTGCCAATAGCCACTCCCATATATACACCATCAATGCCTGACCCTCTCACCCTTCATCATAATTTCCTGGCAAACCTCAATCTTGGTTAAACCTGTTTTAAGAGATGAACATTGGTAAAAAATACACATGAACAAAATAACTAGTCTCACTTTAAATGAATGCCACTGCCTGTCTTCAAGCCTTGATCCTGCCTGGCAACTGCACTGCATTCCCCTCATCTATTCACTCTTTCACCGGATTGGATGATTAAATTACTTAGCCACATCTTCCTGCTTCTCAGGCTCTAACATCTCTCCTCTTTCACTCTCAGCAGGAGACCTTGGTTCCCACTTGACTATGAAAATGGAAGCAATTAGAAGAGTGTTTTCACAAGCTTTCACAACCTGAGCAACCAACCAGATTTCAGTGCCCCCATATACTCTTTCTTCCTATTAGTATGAATGAACAGCATTCCTATATAAAGCCAGTATTCACATCTGTGTATGTGAACCTTGTCTCCCCCTTCTCCTGTTCATGAACATACACTGTCAAATGCCTGCCCCCATCTGCATTTTCTTTAAAATTATAGCTCATAAGGACAGCTTTTTAAGTGAAATGGGAGGATTTCTAGTGACTGAGAGTTGAGAAGGACTGTGATCCAGATAACTTTGGACCCCCACAACAAACTCTAAGGAAAACAATGGCTTAGTACCCATGTGAAAATCCCTAGGATTCTCTGCTCCCATGCCCACTCTGTCTGTTCTTTTCTTTTTTCTCTTCTTTTCTTTTTTTGTCCTCGTTCTTAACTAACAATTAAAACTGCAAAATCATAACAGATGAAAAGATAAAGATGGTGTATACACACACACAGACACACACAGGAATATTATGCTGCCCTAAAAAATGAAATCTTGCCATTTGCAATGACGTGGATGGAACTAGAGAGTATTATGCTAAGCTAAGTAAGTCAATCAGAGAAAAGACACAAGTATCATATGATCTCACTGATAAGAGGAATTTGAGAAACAAGACAGAGGATCATAGGAGAAGGGAGGGAAAAATGAAACAAGATGAAACCAGAGAGGGAGACAAACCATAGGAGACTCTTAATCTCAGGAAACAAACTGAGGGTTGCTGGAGTGGAGGGGGTGGGATGGGGTGGCTGGGTGATGGACATTGGGGAGGGTATGTGCTATGGTGAGTGCTGTGAATTGTGTAAGACTGATGAATCAACACTTGTACCCCTGAAACAAAAAACACATTATATGTTAATAAAAAATTAAAAAATAATAAAAAATAAAGAAGTGAAAAAACCCCCAAAACAAAAAATAAACTCTGCAAAATCATAGATACCTCGGGGTGTCTGGGTGGCTCAGTCAGTTAATCATCTGACTCTTGGTTGTGGCTCAGGTCATGATCTCAGGATCATGAGATCAAGCCCTGAGATGGGCTCTGTGCTCAGTGCAGAGTCTGCTTGAATTCTCTTCCTCTCCTTCTGTCCCTCCCCTGGCTCATGCACATATTCTCTCAAATAAACAAGATCTTAAAAAAATCATAGATACCTCTAAGGTTCCATTCGCAGAGACTGAAGAAATGTATAGGCTGGTGGGAGGTTATGCCTCCTCTCCCACAAAATATTGTTTACTGTCAATAAATAATTAGTACTGACAATTTATCAAACACTTCTGAGACTCAACTCTTGCTGTTTTTTAAAAATTATTTTTTTAAGATTTTATTTATTCATTTGAAAGAGAGCACAGAGGGAGAGTGAGAGGGAGAAGCAGACTCCCTGCTGAGCAGGGAGCCCAATGTGGGACTCGATCCCAGGACTCAGGGATCATGACCCGAGCTGAAGTCAGACACCCAGCTGACTGAGCCATCCAGGCACCCCTAAAAATTATTCTTAACTGAAGTACAACTTTTAGTTTTCTTTCAACCTTGTTGTGTAAGAGGTGAATTCTTTCTGAGGAGATATTTATTC